TGAGAGATGAAATTTAATCTTTAAATTTTTTGAAATCCTAAAAAAGAGCTAAGCTCACCCATCATAATTGTGTCAAATTCATTCTTTATGATCTCCAAAAATTCCTTGCAGAATTTTCAACTACATCTGAAGACTATATGATCATATATTTGACCAAGTATATGGTTATCTTTTTTTGGTAAATAGGATAGTATTAATACTTCTCCTATTTAAATGATTTCTCGATATAAATGATGTTAGCCCTTCATTCCAAGTTCTTGGAACTTACTTGAGACAACATAAGGTTTGAGATAATTTCAAAGCATGATTATGATGTGCTGAACTTATAAAATTAGAATGCAATCTTTTTAAGAATGTAATCTTCACATCCATTTGAGATAAATTATGTTATTCTAGCTGTGAATACTAATAAAATCATAGATAATATAGCTACTTTTTTATAAGTTTCATCATAATCAATTCTTTCAATTCGACTATATCCCTTATTACAAACCTAGCCTTATTCCTAGAAAATTTTCTATCCTTCTTTAATTCTAATTTTGAAAATCCATTGTGTCTATAATGGATATTTTTATTTGTCAAGTGTAAAGGGTCAGGCTTTATTTTTCTCAATCATGGTAGAGATCTAATTTTCATGTTCAGGGAAACATATGTGTTTTATTTTGTTCATAAGACTATGATGAAGAATCAGCTTCATTGCTCCAGGTCACCATTATTGTCTTTTTTTTTTGTTTCAAATTTTATCTTTGGGTAATTAGCCTTTAAGTGACCTAATTTTTTGAACTTGAAATAACTCAAGTCATTTTTAAAAGTCATTCACAACATGAAAATATTTTAGCCTCTCCAGAAAATTTTCCATTTCCTTTCCTAATATTTGTTTTTTGTTTCCTAGCCAATATAGGTATATTTTTAGATCTTCTTCATTTCTTGCAATCTCGTCCTAATCCTTCTCTTCTATAGATTTAAAAAAAAAATGATTTCTTAATGGGGTTTTATACATTTTCAGTAAACTTTATTGGACCTGTCTCATACATCAAGATAGATGCTAACAAATCGTCTAGAGATAATTTAGTGAGATCCTTTTCTTCTTCTATGCTTATAACTTTCGGTCTCCAAGAGGTGGCGACATTAGAATATCTCTATTCATCTTAGCTGCAAGATAAGTACATAGACTTTTTAGAACATTGATGATATAGATAAAACAATGAAACTTTTCTGAAGTGTCCTCATTCTCATTCATAATAAATAATGCATACGTGGGAACTCAATGATATATCCTAGTTTCCCTAACATAAGTTTTTCATAAATATAATACTACCGAATTTATCCTATATTTCTTTTCTTAAATGACAAGTCAACACTCAATTCAATTTCCTAGGATACAAAACAACATATCAATATATTATTTGTTCTTGGATTTAAGGCAAAACTCTTCCTATGTCAATCTGAAAAGACATCCTTTAATACATCTCAAAATAAAGTAATGGTTTCTCATTGAGAAACTTATCCAAATTGCCTTAGATAAAATCAAGTATATCAAACAGACTCATGAACTATGATCTCAAAAATTAAAAATCATAGGCTTGATGATAGAGAATATTTAAAAATGAATATCTAATTAATATCCATCAGTATTTATAATTTTTTTCATATCCATCAGTACTTTGAATCTAATATATTAATTTGATATCAACAATAAGCAAAAGTATTGATCTCATGTTATAAGAATCTAGTAGAGAGAGTAAAATTTCATATTCATATTTTACTTCAATAATTTTAAATGAATATGATTTTCAAACTATCACTTTATGTTATTGGTAGTTTTTACAAATATTAGCAATATTCACAAAAATATAGAAAGTAATTATTTCATGTAATAAGATATACTAAGTTCAAATTTTCAAAATAAGAAGCCTCTAATGCATTCTTTGGAATTAATATTTGGATATTTAACTTTATTACTTAGGATCCTTGCAAAATTTATAATTAATTTCCTGTTCACATCTAAAGGGAGTATTTAGTCATATTTTATGCATAATCAAGATGTGACATAATTTGATCTGATATATGATGTTATATGTATTTTTCATCATGAAAATATGTTTCAATTAATTTTCTAGCAGTCCTTTCTCATAAATTCATATTTTTCAACTAAAGTTTTTGGCTGATTTTAATTCTTGATCAACTACCAAAAATATTATACTGAAATTCCTCTTTATTTTGTTTGGGATATATTTGTGATTTTTGCTTTACATAATCACTCAAAAGAGCTCATCCTAATCACCTAGATATATGAATCTGGAATAAAATTTCATACTAAGATTATGTGAAAAATGAACTTGATAATCAATAGTTACTTTTTAAATACTTGGTTTAGTTCAACCTAAGAATAGGTTGTTCACATAGTACAATATAACAATAGGGTTAAGTGAAACACCAAGAGGGGAGCTGAATTTGGGTTTCTAGGATTTAAAACATTTTTTTATTTTAGTATATACCTATATATATGTTGATTGTTTCTTACTCATTGTATATAGAGATGCTAAATTTAATTTTTAAAAAATTAGATTCACTTTAATAGAAATCAAATAATTGTGATGAGTTCAAGTTGAATCTATAGGGAAGATAATGAAGGATCATAAATTCTTTTGTTGCTTAAATAAATCTAAATTTTAAAAAATTAAAAATGACAAAGAAAATAGAAAAGAGGAATATGGGAGATATTTTATGCTCAATAAGCCACAGCTAACTCCACACTTCCCTTGTCAGTATCAAATTGTTAATCTACATAAAGTTAATAATGATAATAGATTAACCTAATTTACTAGTAATAAGGAAAATAGGGGAGGAGAGAGAGAAAAGATGATGTGAAGAGAGAGACAAGACTTCACTAAGGGGAGAACCGACAAATGAAGAAATGAATTATTTCTTTAAAAAACTATATGAAAAGGGATTGTAAAAAAGTTTACAATTGATTAAACATAATAAAATGTTAAGAAAATGAAATTAAAAAATATCAAAAATCAAATATCTCCCTTTGATTCTAGGGATGAGATAGATGAAAAAATTCTAAATCTAATACACATGAATTGGATTTTGTTGTAGAATATATTTTACATACACAATTAAAGCTAATAAGAACTCAAAAATATCAATAAATAAAAAAACAAATTGAAGTCAAGACTGTTCCACTTTGACACTAGGGAGAAGTAGACAAATGAGTTTGAACAAAATCTTGAATAAAATCCTTATAAATTGACTGTTTCTTACATTTATTCACTTGTCACCCGAGTGAATTGAAGAAATAAATTCAGAACAACATAAAAATCAGATTTTTACAAAACATAATGTGAAAAGTTAATAAAAAATTGAACGAATGCCACCATCTACCACCCAATAAAAAGAGGGAGCAAGAAACTTCTTGTTTACCCTAAATTAGAAGTTTTTATGCTCCCATGAGATCTAAAAATCCATTATAGATAGTGAGTTATCAACTTGTTCTATTCATTTATGGACATCTTCACCCATTTTTAATACACCCATTTCTTGAATCGTTTTAATTTAAATAGTTCTTAATAGGCTTCCTTAACAGGCTCATAATTCTCTTATAAATCAACACATATTCCATAAATATTCTAAAAAATATCAAAAATTATCTAAAAAACTGAATTTCAACTATCAAATTCTATTTTTTGTCTTAATAATGAAATATTTAAGCGTAAAAATTTCAAGTAAAATATATTAACATATAATCAAGTAATATTAAAATTATAAACGTATCATAAAAGTATGTAAAATTCACATTTAAGCATATATTTCACATAATTAGTCTATAGTATACTTTAGTTGATTTTTCATTAAATATATATCATTTATTATGAACCAATCCACAAAATGTATTAATACGGATTACCTATCATATAAAAATGATGAATGATCATGTGTCAAAATGTGAGTTGCTCGATAGGGTCTCTCAACTCTCTTTCATTAAGAATACAAGGTTTTATATTGATTCACTCCCCACCTGACTATGTCTAATCCTAGAGGAAACTTTCTTTTGGTATTTACTATTTTGGTTAGGAAATACATACTAATGTTCATAGGCTCAATCACTTAACAACTCAAGTTAGTCTCCTCAAAGACTCAGCCCTTCTAATAATAAAACTGACCACCAGCATCTTGTGCCTTTACTCAAATCAATCTTCTCTCATCACCCAATTACCATAGGCCTTGATTGAGAAACTTGAGAGAATGGTACGACATTCTCACGTGAAGGTGTTACTTGCACTTAGAATAACTTGAGAGGATGGGATGAATCTTTGTATGCATGACTTGTTTTCAATCCTCAACCAACTTCTAACATGTAAGCATTTGTCTTCTAATATTTTCTTTATTTTAAAAAATCTTTAACATTTGAAATCTTCATTCAAAATCCTCACCATTTGTAGAAAGTGCGGTAATGACCTTTCAACCTTTCTAAACTTCAAATCTCTTTATTCATTCATCTGTTATCATTCGAATTTTAACTAAAGTTTTCAAACTCGATAAAAGATAATTGAATTCTAAGTTGTATCCAAATCATCAAAGTTTTCATTGATGTTTCATCCATGTAAGTAGCTGATGTGTTATTGCTAAGTTGGTGTGTTTTATTTAAGCTTGACGAAGAATATTTGAATGTCTAAGCTTGGATTTTTGTTTCCATTGTCATAGAAAAATTGAAAATTTCCCTTACTATTCAGCGAGTCAAGCTGTTTGGAAGAAAAAAATTCCGATTTTTTCTTGTGGCACCATTTTCCCTGAAGTTAAATTGTTTGGATCACACGAAATCATGAGCCTTTGTGTTGTCGTCATGAGGAAGATTAAAGGACAAAGGGCATTTCTCGATACTTCAAAGTGTTTGAAAGAATTCACAACGTCTTTTGCTAGTTCGCCATTAATTTTACAAAAGGATCACCATTGGAGAAACAGTGCTTTGGAGGTGTGGGCCCAGGGCGTCATCTTCACTTGCCGGGGACGAAGTTGGTTGCATAGGCCCAGGCGTTGTTGTTGACGGGGTCGGCGAGGTGGTCGGCGAGGTTCTCCAGCGGTCCCTTGCCCGTCACGATGGCCTGAACGAAGAAGCCGAACATGGAGAACATGGCCAGTCTGCCGTTCTTGAGCTCCTTCACCTTCAGCTCGGCGAAGGCCTCGGGGTCGTCAGCCAGACCCAGTGGGTCGAAGCTGCCGCCGGGGTACAGCGGGTCGGTGACCTCACCGAGCGGCCCGCCGGCCACGCGGTAGCCCTCGACGGCGCCCATGAGGATGACCTGGGTGGCCCAGATGGCCAGGATGCTCTGGGCGTGCACCAGGCTGGGGTTCCCCAGGTAGTCGAGCCCGCCTTCGCTGAAGATCTGGGACCCGGCCTTGAACCACACGGCCTCGCCGAACTTGACGCCGTTGCGGGCCAGCAGCTCCGGGAACACGCACCCGAGGGCGCCGAGCATGGCCCACCGGCTGTGGATCACCTCCAGCTCCCTGTTCTTCGCGAAGGTCTCGGGGTCGGCGGACAGCCCGGCAGTGTCCCAGCCGTAGTCGCCGGGGAACTCGCCGGTCAGGTAAGATGGGGCCTCGCCGGAGAAGGGGCCCAGGTACTTGACGCGGTCGGGGCCGTACCAGGGGCTGCCGGAGGAGACGGGCTTGGGCTTGCCGCCGGTCTTCCTCATGCTGATCCTCCCCTCACCCAGGACCTCCGAGGAGGCGGTGCCCAGCTTGACGGCCTGCCCGGCGAGGGAGGGGGACGACAGAGCCATGGTGGCAGCCATTGCTGTAGTACTGTAGGAGGGCTGACTCTCAGAGAAGGTAAAGATGTGCAGCGGAGGTAGGGATGGAGTTCCTCGTTTGGCATGATTAAATAGTGGCTGAGGAGACAGGTGAAGATGGGTGACCTTATCGACCGATATCTACATCGTTCTCTCTATTGGCCATGCTCTTCGTTCTGTGATTCATCTGGTCCCACTTTCACGCGTAGATCTCCAATAGATCCGTTAGCCCTACCCAGCTGTCTAATGAGTCATCTCTTCTGGCGGTGAGGGAGATCTCTCCCTGTCTCCCTCCAATGTCTTTACGCCACGTATTATTTGTCCTATCTCTAACGCGAGAGAGGGCTGCCGTTTGCCGGACACGTGCCGATGCTTGGTGTGAGTTCTTATCGAAAGAAATCCATAACATAGAGCCATTTACACGTGATTGGGTCCGGACCAGTCTACTGCCATTTGCTTGTGGCGCACAGCCAGTCCACCAGATTACTTGATGCGCGAGCAAACTCGACGAGTCCATCCCGGACCTGAGAGTATTCTCCTGGCTTCAGCTTGAAAGAACCCCAACCGAAAACCTTGGGCTTTGATCCGTTCACGATGGAAGAGCGAGAAGCGCGGAGGCATCCTTATGATTTTGGAGCCTTCTTGGTTTAACCAGCTACGATGAAATATGGACTTTGGGCCTCGTTTGATCGATAGGAACTCGTCCTGGGCTCACATGGGATCAGGCCCACATCTTCTCGCATCATATTTGACCGTATCTGCACGTCATAAAGTCAGATGAATAGGCGAACTGCGGGTACAGTATAATCTCTGCGTGAAATATCTTTCTCTGGATCAGGATCTTTTCATAGAAGGGTAAAAATGGAAGTTTTCGTAGAGACGTGATGGATGTGAATGGTCGAAGGGATGGCAGGGAACGCCCGGGAGTCTGACTGACCTCTGAGAGTCCGCCATTAGATATTTCACATTTTCCTAATATTGGGAAATAATTATTAGACCAAACCTAAGATTTTTCTGGTTTGGTGGCTGTGGGAGAGCCAGCTGGAGCCGGGGGCGCCTTCAGATGGAGATCCACCGGGGGAGGTCACCCAGCCAATGAGAAGGCAGATTTCGATTCTTCTGCGGATAAGGGCATCGCCCCTTCTCCAATCGGCTTCTTCGCCATCGTCCGCCGACCGGCGTCGACATGCGGGCGATGCCGCTATAAAGATCCACCCTCCCTCGCATTCACTGCTCACCCAACGACTGCCGCTACAACCCTCTCCCTCGGACAACCGCCGCCGGCAGACCTCCTCTATTCTCCGGTCGCGATGGCTGCCACCATGGCTCTGTCGTCCCCCTCCCTCGCCGGGCAGGCCGTCAAGCTGGGCACCGCCTCCTCGGAGGTCCTGGGTGAGGGGAGGATCAGCATGAGGAAGACCGGCGGCAAGCCCAAGCCCGTCTCCTCCGGCAGCCCCTGGTACGGCCCCGACCGCGTCAAGTACCTGGGCCCCTTCTCCGGCGAGGCCCCATCTTACCTGACCGGCGAGTTCCCCGGCGACTACGGCTGGGACACCGCCGGGCTGTCCGCCGACCCCGAGACCTTCGCGAAGAACAGGGAGCTGGAGGTGATCCACAGCCGGTGGGCCATGCTCGGCGCCCTCGGGTGCGTGTTCCCGGAGCTGCTGGCCCGCAACGGCGTCAAGTTCGGCGAGGCCGTGTGGTTCAAGGCCGGGTCCCAGATCTTCAGCGAAGGCGGGCTCGACTACCTGGGGAACCCCAGCCTGGTGCACGCCCAGAGCATCCTGGCCATCTGGGCCACCCAGGTCATCCTCATGGGCGCCGTCGAGGGCTACCGCGTGGCCGGCGGGCCGCTCGGTGAGGTCACCGACCCGCTGTACCCCGGCGGCAGCTTCGACCCACTGGGTCTGGCTGACGACCCCGAGGCCTTCGCCGAGCTGAAGGTGAAGGAGCTCAAGAACGGCAGACTGGCCATGTTCTCCATGTTCGGCTTCTTCGTTCAGGCCATCGTGACGGGCAAGGGACCGCTGGAGAACCTCGCCGACCACCTCGCCGACCCCGTCAACAACAACGCCTGGGCTTATGCCACCAACTTCGTCCCCGGCAAGTGAGCTGAGGATCGCGACCTGAATTCCTTGGGGCCTGGGTGGTGGGGGGGCGTCTTCTGTAAATTACCGGTGTGGACTGTCACTGATCTGCACTGCCTAGTGTAAAACTGATGACGAGTTTGTGAAGATGTTGTGAATCAATTCCAGCCATTCTCATTCGCAGGGAACTCCAACTTCTCTTATATCTTCATGGTGCGCTTTATCGAGATCATTCTGAAGGAAAATAATGGCACAGAAACCTGGAGAGACTTCGTCGAACGGGCGAATCCACGAAAAATCAAAGAGGCCTTACTGCTCGATCCCTCTAGCCCAGCCAGTTCTGGACTTCTTTTGTTGTCTTCTGTAAATGACTGACGGAAACATCATTGAGCTTCGCTTCTTGCGCTCTCTTGTTTACTCCAACCAGTCAGTAAAACTCCAGTTGTTGTGTATGGGTGGTTCCAAGTCTCCTCTGGTGTCTGCAACCCCACGTCATGATATCCAGCGCGTTGTTCTTACCAAAGTAACCTATAACAGTCCCAAAAGAGTAGCCATCCTTCTAAGTCGATCTTAGTAAGACTTTATTATATCACTATTTTTTAAATATGGATTGCTTTTACTATTTCCGCAGCGTCATATTTATCATATTTACATGAAATTCAGTTCATAACGTATACACCTTACATTGTTGTCTCTGAAGGCTCCTGGCCATAATCGGAAACGAGAAAGCATTGGGCTTTATAGAAATATGACCACAGCTGAGGTTTGAACATCGATTAATCAGTGGTGTTTTCAGTTGGACAACACTACTTGCATCGTGTTGAGCTTAGTGGGGTCATGAGCAGGAACTAGGTTAGCCCAAACCAAGATAGAGATTCGGCAAGAGAGCACGAGGGTGGACCCATAAGGGATTCATCCACCTATCAGGGCCCAGGACTTGAGGCAGACGAGGGGAAGTGAATAGACAGCCTCCAGAGTTCATCACCCAATGCTACCCAGGCACTCAGTACTAACGCTTAGTACGGGGGTTGCCTAGTAAAGGAAAATTGTAGCCTCACGGGGATTGTAGGCGTTTAGCAGTTAAATATCCAGATTTGCCCTCTCACAAGCCTTCGGTGGATTGTGTATTATCCATGGAAATCAGAAATGTTGGTTAGCCATATATTACTTTGAGTGATGTAGCAAGAAATGGATCAGTAGGATGGGTTTGATTTTGATGATGATAAACAAGATAGTTTGAATGTGGATAAAGTTGGTCAAATCAAATGCATCATTTATTTAAATCTCTAAAAAACCTAATCGAATTTACCAAGCCAGCTAAGAACTGACCCATACCAGCTGATGCGCACACTGCAGTTTCCAATCTTATAGCATAGTGAGTCTCAAAAATAGCTACCACTCGGTCAATGAGAGCATGAAAGTTGCCTTGGGATGGTGTGGGGCATTTTATCTCTAAAACTAGACTATCGTAATTATTTTGCTAATTACATAATCAAGCATCATTGGTCAATCTCAAGACACATTAATTTGTAGTTAATAAAATAGTCAATACTAATTGCTTTAAAATAAATATTAGTGAAGACATCATTGGATGAAGTTTCTATTTATTGATTGATTAAAAGGTTAAAGGGTTGGAGTATTAAATGCTTGATATTTTCATAATGACAAAAAAGTAATAAAATCAATTCAAAGAGCAAACTGTCTAATTTTGAATATGGTTGATATGAGATTAAGCAAGAGTGTTCATATATAATTTAATATAATACTATTGACTGTTTTGATAAAAAAATATTATGAATTTATATATTTGATTGATTTCATTACTTGAAATTATCATGTTATCTATTGTTGTGGAAATTATTAATATTTACATAGTATACCATAGTGAGAATGTAAAGATTAACATAAAAATCAACAAGAATCCGTGAAGTAAAATATAGTATGAAATGTTATTCAATCTATTGTGTGCTCATAGTATTAAATTATTATTTTAGAATGCTTTTGATATTAAATTAATCAATTGAATTCAAACCACATGATATGTCATATATAAATTCTAAATAATACAAAATACATATTATAAATTATTTTTCTGTTATGAATCCCCAAACTTTAAATTTTATATATTTGAAATTTTGATTTAAGATATCTTATTCATAATTATATTTTATTTGAGTTATTTGGATTACTTCGATTATTAAATCACTATCAAAATGAGATTTGTATTATCGATTATGTATTCATGATATTAGATCTTTAATGAACAGATATGAACTAACATGATCAAATATATATGTGAAGACTTTAATAGGATCACGTATTGATTTCTAGTAAAGATATCTGAATTATTTATTAGACACATCATATTAGTCTCTTAGCCATTCAAATTTATATTTTTTTTCTAAAGAAATAGATATTGGAAGATCATGAAAAGCTGAGAAGATTTTCATATGTGATTTACCTATAAATTTCATAGATTTCCAACAACTAGAGAGGCAAGAATGATTATCCTTATCTTAACTACAACATTAAGTTTTGAGTGAAGTTCTTCCATAGACAAACATGTGAGAAATCGAGAGGTGCTTACTAACTAGTCAAAACACGTGAAAGTATCTAGTCGAGGAATATTTATCAAGTTGAGTATACCTTGAAAATGAAATACAAAATCAACAAGTTAAAGGGTAACTAATAAAGAAATTTGAAATGGAAGACTTGGTGACCTATTATATTGAGAATCACACACCACAAAGTTTTGAATCTCTTTAGATTATCTTCAGAAGTTATATTGAGAAGTTTCCCCATTTAATGTGCTGATTACAAGTCTTATGAATACTCTTTTAGCTTCTAACTTCAAGATCTTAAATGATCAATAAATTAAGAAAATAGAGCAGTAATACATGAAAAATATTATGTCCTTATTGTAGGTAGTCCCTTGTATGGTATGGTCTACACTTGAACAAGTATAATACATGTAGTAGGAACAATTTATGATGGCTCTAGATTAGACAGTTTTACTTGAGAGACAACTCATGTTTAACTCTCTGTTTTGAGAAGAACAATTTGAAAGTGTCAAGTTTTGTAACTCTAGATTTGGGTTGTGATGTCTTCTAACTTTAGAAACCTTAATTATCCTAAAAAAAATTGATGACAAAAAACATAACGAAAATTAAATTAAAAAAGGTATCTTTAATATCGCATATATGCTTGAAGTGGCTGATCTTTTGGACATACGCTTAAAATGAACTAATTATAAATTCAGAGGGAATACATGTTAATATTTCTGAGTGTTCAAACAACAGTTCAATGACTTTATTTGACACTCACGTTTTGAATTTTGGATTTGTGAGATATTTGTAATTGGAAATCATTACTTTACTTTTTACAAGTGAAAGTCGTAACTACAAAAATATGACTACTTAAGAGTTATTATTTGATACCAAACTATGAGTGAATATTTTATGTAAAATATTGATATGATAGTTACAGATGTACCAGAGGCCTATGCTATAAAAATGTTACTTCTGAATCATTTATTATAGTGAATTAATTGATCAAATCCGAATTATTTAGATGGCTTTCGAAATATTTCTGAACATTGTTGGATATTAATTGAAAAATATTTTGGAATATCATCTGTCACTGTAGTGATCCTCTTGAGTATTTAAATGAATACAATGCTAACTTATAGTTTACACAGCTCAGGAAACCATGGCAAATGAAATTCTAAGTCATGATGATTTTCTAGTGGAGAATAAGTGTATTATATTATTGCTAATATTTTTGGTGTGCTAGACATAAACTTGATTTGAAGAAACCTCCAAAGGAAAATCATGTATTAAAATAAAATCTGAAATATATTTTTGAAAAACCTGAAAATAGTAAAAAGAAATATGGAATAGAAAATGAAAACTGAAAATATAACCAAGGAAAATATAGAACTTATATCACATGTAAAAAATTAAATGGTAAGAAACTAATTGGATAAACTTGAAAAAGCATTGAATCTCTATAGGAAGAAAGTACAAAAATGAAGACATAGTCAAATAAATCTAATAGCAGTTGACAAAAACTAGATTAGTTGATAGAAACCCAACATAGACACATAAATATAGGAGGACTTGGGTATCCTAGTTGGTTAGGAGAAATGGGAAATAAAACAGGAAAATAGAAGTACTATATAGTAGATAACGCCATACAAATCAAAAATAAAATCGAGTCCAGGGACATTATTTTAGGAAGACGGAGGACTAGGCAAATATGGGTACTGAAGAAAATCTAAGATACATTTAGGATAGAGATCCAGATCAAGTCTAGACCCCTCAAATGAAATAAAGTTCACTTATTTGAAGGGTCTCTACACCGTGGTATCTTGATAGTGGTTACTCAAGTCATGTAGTTGTGTAATTAAACATATGGGCACTAAGAATATCTATGAAACAAGTTGAGGGGGAATTAGTAAGAAGTGCTACTGTTGACAAGTTAATGTTCATATCTAAATAATGTTTTTAGATTTATACTTGATACATTTAAGGTTAAGTAAAATATATCTTGTCTCGTTGATATGAATATAATAGAGATGAAGATGCCCACGTTGCATGAAAGCTATAATCTGCAATTTTACACCTTGAGCTTCTCCAAAAGTGTTGGTACACCATCTTCCTCTCTTTTCCTCTTTCTCTCGTCTTTTCTACAAGAGTTTCCTTTGGCGCGATGCCTTGTACACAAATGATCAGAAGATTCTCATATCTCCAAGTTACACATTAAATGCAATCCATCCCGGTTTCATCCAGCGTTCTGCGACTTTCTCCACTTTACCCCTTCGCATACTGTAAGAATTTTTTACTCTTCAAGATGCTACGGATTCCTCGCACGCCCACACTGCAGCTCAGTCCATTTCAGACGGTACAAATGAACAGGGGGCAACCAGTATTTCCACTACATCCAAAATATTTCCCAATGATACCCGTGAGGGGCTCACATGAAAGAAAGTCATGGGTAGATAACGAAGTTGAAGAAAAAACCTTAAAGATGGGTGCTAAACTGAAGGATCACAGAGGGAACTTGTGGAACTATTGATGATAGGATAGCGGTTGTTTCGAGCAAGGAAGGACAGCAGGACGATACGGCTGTTCACTAGTGGAATCCAGTAAGGCCTCTCTGATTTTTCGTGGATTCGTCTGTTCGACGAAGAATGATCCCAACAAAGCGGACCAAGAAGACATAAGAGAAGTTGGAGTTCCCTGCGAATGAGAATGGCTGGAATTGATTCACAACATCTTCACAAACTCGCCATCAGTTTTACACTAGGCAGTGCAGATCAGTGACAGTCCACACCGGTAATTTACAGAAGACGCCCCCCCACCACCCAGGCCTCAAGGAATTCAAGTCGCGCTCAGCTCACTTGCCGGGGACGAAGTTGGTTGCATAGGCCCAGGCGTTGTTGTTGACGGGGTCGGCGAGGTGGTCGGCGAGGTTCTCCAGCGGTCCCTTGCCCGTCACGATGGCCTGAACGAAGAAGCCGAACATGGAGAACATGGCCAGTCTGCCGTTCTTGAGCTCCTTCACCTTCAGCTCGGCGAAGGCCTCGGGGTCGTCAGCCAGACCCAGTGGGTCGAAGCTGCCGCCGGGGTACAGCGGGTCGGTGACCTCACCGAGCGGCCCGCCGGCCACGCGGTAGCCCTCGACGGCGCCCATGAGGATGACCTGGGTGGCCCAGATGGCCAGGATGCTCTGGGCGTGCACCAGGCTGGGGTTCCCCAGGTAGTCGAGCCCGCCTTCGCTGAAGATCTGGGACCCGGCCTTGAACCACACGGCCTCGCCGAACTTGACGCCGTTGCGGGCCAGCAGCTCCGGGAACACGCACCCGAGGGCGCCGAGCATGGCCCACCGGCTGTGGATCACCTCCAGCTCCCTGTTCTTCGCGAAGGTCTCGGGGTCGGCGGACAGCCCGGCGGTGTCCCAGCCGTAGTCGCCGGGGAACTCGCCGGTCAGGTAAGATGGGGCCTCGCCGGAGAAGGGGCCCAGGTACTTGACGCGGTCGGGGCCGTACCAGGGGCTGCCGGAGGAGACGGGCTTGGGCTTGCCGCCGGTCTTCCTCATGCTGATCCTCCCCTCACCCAGGACCTCCGAGGAGGCGGTGCCCAGCTTGACGGCCTGCCCGGCGAGGGAGGGGGACGACAGAGCCATGGTGGCAGCCATCGCGACCGGAAAATAGAGGAGGTCTGCCGGCGGCGATTGTCCGAGGGAGAGGGTTGTAGCGGCAGTCGTTGGGTGAGCAGTGAATGCGAGGGAGGGTGGATCTTTATAGCGGCATCGCCCGCATGTCGACGCCGGTCGGCGGACGATGGCGAAGAAGCCGATTGGAGAAGGGGCGATGCCCTTATCCGCAGAAGAATCGAAATCTGCCTTCTCATTGGCTGGGTGACCTCCCCCGGTGGATCTCCATCTGAAGGCGCCCCCGGCTCCAGCTGGCTCTCCCACAGCCACCAAACCAGAAAAATCTTAGGTTTGGTCTAATAATTATTTCCCAATATTAGGAAAATGTGAAATATCTAATGGCGGACTCTCAGAGGTCAGTCAGGCTCCCGGGCGTTCCCTGCCATCCCTTCGACCATTCACATCCATCACGTCTCTACGAAAACTTCCATTTTTACCCTTCTATGAAAAGATCCTGATCCAGAGAAAGATATTTCACGCAGAGATTATACTGTACCCGCAGTTCGCCTATTCATCTGACTTTATGACGTGCAGATACGGTCAAATATGATGCGAGAAGATGTGGGCCTGATCCCATGTGGGCCCAGGACGAGTTCCTATCGATCAAACGAGGCCCAAAGTCCATATTTCATCGTAGCTGGTTAAACCAAGAAGGCTCCAAAATCATAAGGATGCCTCCGCGCTTCTCGCTCTTCCATCGTGAACGGATCAAAACCCATACGGCAATAAACTTCGGATAAAATCATTTCCAAACGTTTCGTGCTTGTCTGACTCCTACATTCTATCAATTCAGGCACATACATTCACAAGTGCAGCATTACACGAATGTAAGCAGCATGTTGCCTCAATGGTAACTAGCAGCTGGGTAGCACCGTTGACTTTTTCCAAACGAATGTTAAATGGAAGATAACTTTATAAAAAAATCTTCGAAGTAAACAACAGATTTATTGGCAGGGTCACGGGGAGCTGATAGAAACAGAGACTAGATTACCATTTGGGTCACCTTAATTAGACAAATGTCAACGATCAATCCGCCAAACTCTCTCTGGCACAGTCTCAATAAAATGGAGCAGTGAGGAACTGGGGCCCACCAGGCGCTCAAGAAAAATATTGTTTCCATTCACATGGCAAGGATGATCTAAAAACCTGCGCAAGAACTGACCTCTCCCTCTTTCCCAGCCTGCGGCAACCGTAGCCCCTGGAGACGCCAAGCTTAATCGACTCCTCCCCGTCGTTTACAGCCTGCCTCCTCACAGAGCACAGAAAAGATGCAGCGCTGTTGGATTCATCAGGAGAGCTGGAGAATGAGCCATCAGACCTTGACTTCTCATCTTCGTCTGTAGATTCTGGCTCTAACGCCTCCTGCGCACCTTCATCGCTGCCACTTCCCCACCACTGTCGAGTGGTCAACGATAAGCCGTCCACTGGGAACCCGTACTTGAATTCGTCGACGTAGTTAGGGATGCTGTGGAGAGGCTGAAATAGCCCCGGTCCTTGGAGGGGCTTGGCGCCCGGCTGCTGCGGGTTGTGGGTGGGGACAGAGAATGCTTTCCCCAGTTTGGACCCATCTTGAGTGCTGCTCATTGACCTGTGTTGTGTATGGCCAGGTCAACCAAAACAGTTCAAGACAAAAAAGAAGAAGAAGACAGAATTACTGTTGGAGGCATTGGAGAGAAAAGTAGCAGAATTGGGCACCTCAATGATGGTTAAAAATAGACAAAAACTGGGGGGGTATGAAGCCATTATTTTTAAGGCAACTAAAAAAGTGCTGTGGCAACTTATTGCCTTTGTACATGCCTGAAAATGAGATGATTTTAAATAAATCAAAAATTTGTCCATTTAGTGAACATCTACGAATATTCGGATTATTTGAGACGTGATAAAAAACGGAATCCAGTGTTCTTAACCATAGATTACAAAGTATCATTTTGATATATGTATATATATATCCGGGGGTGGGATGGGGGGGAATAAATCAATGGATATAAATAATGGTAGTAGAGACATCTAGATCACTTGCCATATAAGTAATAGAGCAATTCAAGCCTGCTGTTTCATATTGGAAAACAGAGGATCTCCACAATAAAAAACGGAGTCCTAATTGCATGATAAATGATTCCATAAAATTCTCCAAATGATAAGGATAGCTTGATAAACATCTACCCACATTGCCTCCATGGCTCCGCAGTCCAGAAAAAACTAGCAACAAAGTTCATAATTCCACAAGTCACGGATGAACCTCTGGGAGGAAGAATATCCTCTGTATGATATTAACGTGTCTCCAAGTCCAGTGCAGTCATCCACAGATAAATTTAAACAGATAGATAAAAATTCATATCCACCTGTTCTCAACAACAACTAGAAAAGAAAAGGAAACCATTCCGTAAAGTTGCTCGTTCGACCAGGTTCCCCAAAAGTACATAACCAAGATATTTTAGTCATCAAAAAACTCGCCTATATTTCCCAATTGAATTGGTCTCCATTTGTCCTCCAATTCATCAGTTCATAAATTGCACTATAGACCTCAACATCCATGCACAACAGGCTACTTCCAACCACGAGCATAAACCATATGTGGCGGCTTCCTTGAAAGGATGTCAGAGACTTCTTTGAGACAGATCCTTAAACCCTCAAGTCCTATCCAAAGTTCCATAAATAATAACTCCATATAAAACAAAATAAATAAACAATCAGAACGAGATACAATAAAGAAGCACTCATCAGGCATACTCTTATCCATCCACTGATTCTTCTAAGCCCGCCTAAACAAAGGTACACATCCATTCGTTTGCATAGCATTCTCAATCAAGACTGAACTCTGCTAGGAACAGCCTTTCGATTGCAATATTTTCAATTTGACAACCAGCATGAAATGATTACCCTAAGAAGTCTCTCTTCCCTCTCCACGTCAGAAACATCCATTCACTTCTTTTACTTCAGAAACTGCACGAAAGCAATGCTCCAACTCCACCAAAATTTTAGCCGACTTCACATTTCTCAAAAAACTACACTACAGCACTGCTCCCTCTTTCAGAAAACTACACTACAGGAAACAGAATAGATGGCCTGTCCCATAAGTCATTTAGGTATAAACAACATTACTAAATGGGGCGCTAAGAATGAAAACGAGACATTATTTTTCGGGGGAACGAATGGGATGAAACTAGATGGCTAGAAGAAAAACACTTGATGGCCAGCATCATTCGCACGAAATAAGGTTCCAGAAATAGACAGATCAGAAGGATCTCAACTCACATAGTTGACGCTGTTGAAGATGAAACTGAATATGTGCTAGTTGACTGATCCAATATCTCCTTTGCAACCTTTGACAACTCAGCGAACTCCTTGCTTTTTTCCTTTGCAGCATCTTTTTTAATGTCATCAACAGTTTTTCCAGCAAGAAACTAAAAGATACAGACAAAATAAATTAGAAAGAAGCATAGAGGAACCCAATAACATGAAAGATAAAGCGAAGAGACAAAAGAGTGTTAAGCAAGCAGAGGGGAAAAGAGAAGTAAATTGAACTTAACCAAAAAAACAAAGTCAGATCACACTACTGACCCAGCCCCTTGTCAACACCAGATGTGTACATGTTCATGTGCAATACACAGATGAATCCATAAGCCTGCAGTCATGATTCTAACTTTTATCTCTGAGTGCATGCGCACACATGTGTGTGCATGTCTGTGCCTGTTGGAGAGCGAACAAGAGAGAGAGAGTGGGGGCTGAAAGACGAGAAAATTGGAGATTCCAAGAAGAGCATCACTTCTAACTGAAAAAGTCACCCCATCACATCTTGTCTGAAAGATGGCTCAATGAGGTTCTCCATCAACAACATTTGAAGAGCGAGTTTGTCAGCAGGAAGCACTGTTTTTGCAGCCATCAGCCCAATAAAGTAATGTTTATATCTCTTTGAAGCCATAATGTAACATAGGAAGCCATCTACTCCAGTACTGTCCTTCCGATTCCAACTTAAGGTTCCAAACATAATCTTCTGACTTTAGGGGAGAATGAAAAATGAGAGGGTTATGCAGGTGTTGCTTGCACTCCAAGAAAATCCTATTTCCTACGCAATTTTTATGTTGAAGAAGAAGTTTGAAATGGACTCCCAGCAAAATCTGCTATACACATGTTCTAAAATTTGTAATGTTACTGGCCTCTCATTCAGCTGAATGGATTTTAATGAACTAATATTCATTAAGATTACAGAGGTCTTGAACATTGAAACGATCATAAGTAGTGAATGAAAGCATTTACCCGATTCTTGCATGACACAAAAGCTGGTTGTTTTCTCTTGAAACTGTAAATGTATATAACAAGAAACTCTCAAGCGGACAAGCAATTTAACTTTCGTTTGTTCAATGCTGAATCCTCTTGGTTATGATTGATAATATATTTTCACTTTTTTTGGAAATGTATTTGACATAGATCCATATATTACATATAGTATATAATATATAATAAATTAATTTAAGTGCAAACTTTTTAGATCCCCAATCAGACCCCTCTAACATTGTCACATCAACAACCACATCCGTGTAAACAATCAAAATCTAAATCTGTGCCAAAGGTTTCCAATTACTAGTAGAGGATAGAAATGGGGTAACATAAACTGTGAGAATGACGATAGTAAATAATTCAAAACCAGCAGCATGACAAGCAAATGAATACATCTGATCGCAATAAGATGATGGGTAAACACCTCTCCAGGAAACGAGAAATTCATTTTGCCATGAAACTTTCACAAACACATTCATTGCATCGTAACTTTTTTATGTTTCATCAGTGCATCTTCAACGGGAGATAATTGGGTGTCCACTTTTTACTGTATCTTTTTCCGCCATCATTTCTTTCACTTGAGAAATCAGGAGAATAATGATTCCTTACGTAACAAACATTGCTCAAAAAGTTTTAGAGCACCATTTTTGTTAGTTCCTATCATACTCTGAGAGAAGACCTTAAGAAGGGAATTTTTTAAGGTCCTTTATTTGGAATCAGGGAAACAAGATGTTGAGGTCAACAACAGAACAAGAGGCTGGAACCAAGCTGCACAGCAGTCCATTCTTGAAACCAAGTTCAGCTTCACCTTTCCACAGAAAACAGTGGCACAACCATTATCATTATCATACGATTTCCTCCGTCAAAACAATTCATTAATCAGGAAGACAAGTATGAACATTAAACGGCAAGTTTATACAAAAACATGTTTATACATTGATCTGAGTGGATAAATTCATGCACCAGAGAAAATAATTTAACACATTATATATCTATTCATGGGAGCTCCTTCATAAATTACAGTGAAATGACAGAAATAATAAATTGCATATATGTTATGTGTCAGCATCCAGGCAAAAACCTGTTGATTATATGGGTATATCATTGCATCCAAATATAACCGATGCGTTTCCACATACAGGAAAATTATAGAACATTAAGTTTTAGCATTTCAAGTTTTAATAAAGGATAAAAATAATGTTTGACATAAAACAATGTTTTAATACAAAGTAGGTCAAGGTTTTCATTATGTATCCTTATGATGAGCACACATACGCGCGCACACATATTTTATTAGGTGCCTGGAACTCAATGAAAAACAAATTCAGAATTAACTGGACCAGGTTACTGCAAGACAAAGGATGCATGTGATGAGTGGATAAATTCATAGCAAGATCTTGACATAGCCAAGAAATTTCCCAATTAAATCATCATCATCATTTCGCCCTGTTTTGCTCTTCAATAAAAATGTTGTACCTTGCAATCTTACGTATAACACAAATGGTATCATGAACATGTTAGTTTCAGGTTGTGTCATTTTTCATATGGCCACCTGACTGTTTACATCTATTCTTTGCACATGCTAAACGTTCGTCCTTACTTTGTTGGTACATAGAACAACTAAAGTAGAATAATGGCATTATATTTAAATGATGATAAGGAGAGTGCCTCTACACACTTCATCACTCCACCCTGATCGAACTAGAAATATAACCAGCCACCTCATTGCCTTTTGCTAACTTATTAAGAAAGATGTGGAGACAAGTCATTTGTTTACCAGATTTCACATCCCTTATTAAGCAGTTTATTTACCAAACTTATTAAGAAATTTGGACAGCATGATTTGCTCCCTACATTTATCAAAAAGAAAAGAGCAAGACACTGAACTGACAACAGCATTATTATTTCTGAAGTAAACAGAAACTGTAACACAGCGTTGCAAACTTCTTTACCTTGCGGTATGGCCACCTTACAACACCATTCTCACGACATATCCTCTTTAAGACGCTGCTACACACACCTACATGTTATAACTGATTAAGTATTCCTTATCTTAGAAGAAATTCCTAAAACAAAATTTATAAGAAAGCTATGACATATTCAGGCAGCTCTAAACTTGAAACCGAAATTAGAAATTCACGTGTACACTCCCATAATCAAATTTACCGGTATAAATAAACAAGAAAGAGGGCAGTGATGCGAATAAGAGATCTTCAGAAACAAGACTAACTGCTCCTAGCTGACAGCCTATGTTTTCCCTTCCCCCATAAACAACTGTAACGAACCAATTCCCTGCCAACCTTTCAATGCTGGCATCAATGAGGAATTATATCACTTGTGCGTTCCATGCTCAACTCTCAGCATTATAACAGAAGGGTAACTACTAGGTTGTTGCACCTGATCGAAATCAAAACCAGAACAAGGTGTAGACATGCAAAAACCAAAGAAAAAGAAGAAGAAAAGAATTATTGTATATATTTCAAACCAGAATCAATCTGAAGTATAAGATTTCACTTGCTAGCAAACAGTACGGACAAGGACAAGATTTGGCATTCAAAAACTTGCGCAGTGCTTCAAGGTATTACGCATGGGAGAGTAACAATGTCCTGAGGCAACATCATTCTACGTTTTATTGTACTTAGAAAATAGTTTTCATCACCATTCGTAATTCAAAATAAGATTCATCACAAAAAACCACAGAAAGAGCGCCTTAAAAACCATAAACTTAGCAAAATACCTCTAAAAATAAATGTCTCCACCATAAGCATACAGGTTATATAACTCTTGCCCCACTGGCCACCCCTATCTAGAATGGATCACTAGAATCAACTTCTCAGCCCTACAACATTGTAGAGACGCATGTGGTGAACTTAGATATTGTTCAGAATAGCATTCCATTCCTTTCTCCTCACCTGCACATGATAAATTATTATGTGAAAATATCCACCACACTCTAATATGCACACAGAAAATGTTCCTTATTCCACTCTCCTAGGAACCTCTCAACATCCACGCTGGTAAAGACTTGTGTTGAATAACTACACCATTTCTCTAAGATCGTTCTCAGATGAACCCAAATGCAAATATAATAAATATTCTGAAGACTCTTGTATGGCTGTCATCAAGGTAGCATGCGGTCCTCACGTACACGATGATATTCAAAAAACTAATGCAGGTGGTTAGACATAGTTTCCCAATATTACTGGCCAAAGCATTAACAGTCTACTAAGTATACAGCTTCCAAGCTTCCTTGTCAAAGGCCTGCAATAAGCAAGTAACCAGATGATCAAGTTTACCCTGATCTTTGGCAGTCTAGAATCAAGAATATGCACCGTCAAGCTGAAAAGAATCCCACACACGAACTCTACAGAGCATAGATGACAATGAGAGCAAGCCAAATGAAACATCAACACATCTACAAAATATGCATTTCCAAACAAGCCCCAGACAACACCCATAGGAAGTCATTCAAGGTCAACAACATCACTCGAGATGTGTCATAATCCTGTTACCCAAACCCATACGTGCACACTCAAACAACAAACATTCCATTAAATATAAAACTATGTCACTTGTCTGTGTCATCAATGAAATAATTCTCTCACATGTTTCCTCTCCCTTTTTATTTCTTCCATGACCACCACCCATAACTGTCTCTATTTTCTTCTCAAGTCATTTACTAAGAAAGAGCCAGAATTTCACAAAAAATTCTCCCTCCCCGTTTCCTCCTCAGACTCCACTCCGCCTTCAGTAGGCCCGGATAATCAACCCACGCCCTTTCTAGAACACTCAAGTAAAGACTAAGAAGTTAGAAAAATATGGAGTTCTGTAGAATCTACAGAGTCTGACTACGAAGCTGTAAAGGATTGAATTGCACAATAAATGACATAAATATAACTATTATTCTGTTAGGAATTTATTGTAATTTTTCCAACCACCGAGTCCAGTCATAATATCCGGGCAAAGAAAATATCTGCTCACATGCTGGAAAAAAAGTAGTCAACCTAAAAATAATAAAATAAACAGATCCACATAATTGAAATGAGAAGTTATTAGCTTCGAGAATGCATTCTAATGGCCCAATTTTGCATGAAAGATAGTTTTCAATGAGAGCAAATCAGTGGTCCAGAGCTATGTGCAGAATGTAGAATTGATAGCATTTTAAAGTCACTTAGGAAATGTGTAGCATCTTGACCTTCATCAAAATCATATGTTGCTGTGAAGTCTAAATACTTCCACAGTTGGGACACAAGACATGACGAAAATGAATAAAATACGAAAAGCGAACTCAAACATTCATAAGTACGTATCTATTACTCAGAAAAAATTGGGAAGGATCAACTGAAAAAAAAAATTGTGATACTGACGGAGAAGATGGCTTCTAACGACAAAAAGAAAGAATATCATAATTTTATCTTTTAAGTCCCCAACAAACCGGCAAACTTGGTGTCGCCAGAGTTCCCATTAAGTATAAGGTCCTCAAATTGGTATATATGTACATATGAAGGGAAGGTTAATTTTAGGCTTCCAGAATTACCATACCAAAAAACAAACTTATAATTTCTACGATAATGTACAGAAGATTGATTCGTGCATACAAATCCCATTAATGGTATTGAAGCAAAAACAGAAAACGAAATAAAAAATTATAAAAACGAAGCGACATAATCCTCTAAAAAATGTCCCGAAATGTTCGACGAAAAGTATCCACTAAACAAAGAAATATGCACAGGATTTGCGATGATCGTACCCTAGACAACAGAAGCATAATCGCCAAAAAAAATCAATCAATCAAAGGACAAGGAGGCGTGGATTCACACGCTGGGCTATCGCCGTTACCGAGAGCAGTGGCGGCCTCGGCGATGGGGACATTGAAATGCTTCGCGACGTCGTCGAATGTCAGCCTTGACGCATTGGGCGCCGTTGAGACTGTGGGAGCGGCTCCTCCCCCGTTCCCGCTCAGCAGTCGCGCAGGAGACGAGGGCTGAAGCACCGGTGACAACTGAGCAGCTGAAGGCTTCGCCATTTCCGGCCCTGGCGGCATCCCCGTCATCCTCGCGCGTGGGGTAAGAAGAGCCGATTCTCCCTTCCAAGCCCAACCAAGAACCGGATCGGCCCGATGGGCTTTTATTCGGTTTCTCCGTCGGCCGGTTCAAAAAATCGAGCCAAACCAAACCGGCCTGGCCGGCTCTAAAAAATCTTCCTCCACGGCGTCCTTCACTTTTTTATTTATTGATAATACCTTTTTATTTGTAATTATATTATTTTCAGAATGTAATCTCTTAAGCAGATACCTTTCCCATAAGGTTCGTTCAACGATATGTGTTCTTCCTTCAAATATCAAATCCAATGGTGGAGAAACTGCCACGCATAAAAGCCAAAAAGCCCCAAATTTCTTCACACACTCATTACTTAAAACTAAGAGAAAAAAAAATATACATATAAATCCCATCACAGGGCACAACTTTCAGAAGTCAACACCAGGAGCAGCTGGAATAATGCGAAGCCCGTCGCAGGCCACGCTTCCAGATGTCAACTGACCTCTTCTTTATTCTTCGGTGGAGGTCCTCCATTGACACACTCTTAAGGGCCGAATCTATCCCGACCATGTGGGGAGGAGAAGTCAACGCCTGGACCCACAGGGATGATCCCGAAGGGATTGATGGAAGGATGGCTGCCGTAATAATGCCTCTTGATGTGCTGCATGTGGACCGTGCTGCTCATGCCCGGGATCTGATAGATCTCCTTGGTGTAATTGAAGATATTCGGGTACTCTCTCAGCAGCTTCTTGTTGCACTTGAAGTGGACGGCATATACCTGCTCAAGCAACGAACCCGGTCAACCATCAAATTTCCTACTTACCCTTTTTTTTTTTACTTCTTTCGAAAATAAAATATTACCCAGGAAACCATAATCTTCCCCATTTTAGTATATAAATACACACATAATCTGATGGGTGAGATAACCGAGAGAGAGAGAGAGAGAGAATCTGATCCGAATTTGATGGGTAACTTGTCATATAAAGTCGGTCAACTTTAGGTCACCGTTGAACATAATATCTTCCAAAAGTAAAAGGGGGGGAAGCATCCCACCTCGTCAAACCTTATGAGCGTGACGAACAGACGAATGTCAGCCTCAGTCAACGCATCGCCACAGATGTATCTCTGCTTGCTGAGAATTTCCTCACATCGGTCCATTGCTTCGTACAGCTTCTTTACAGCCTACGTAGATCATTACATGCGCACAAAAATAAGAAGAAACTAAGAGAGGCATCAAGTCAACGAGAACGAAGCTAATATCATGCAAATATCACAGAATTTCTTCGCGACCCAGACAGAATATAATCACATTTTATGTACCATATTATTTGCAATTACCTCATCATATGGGCCTTGCTTCTTGGCGAACCCGCACCGGTACACGCCGTTGTTTATTCCGTCGTACACCCACTCGTTGACCTCGTCAATTTGGGCACGCAGGTGCGCTGGGTATAAGTCCAAGGCCGCATTCTTCGCAATACCATTGAATTCGGTGTTCAGCATCCGGATTATCTCGCCGCTTTCATTGCTGACGATCGTCTTGTTCTTCTTGTCCCACAGGACCTGCCATCAATCGAGGCCGATCAGCAGGCCTTGAATCATGAAGTCAGAGGCTTTACATAAAGGGGGATCTTGTTCTTACAGGAACTGTGTACTTGCCGGAATAGTTTGAACTGGCGAGCTCGTAGAGCTCTCTGATGCTCTTCGCTCCATTGAGTGGGTCAGGCTCAGCTCCTGGCTCTTCAGTACTAGAACTGGGGAACAGCCAGCCAAAATGTTCATCGCTCTCCTTTGTTCTTCCCCATATCGGTTTGACAGACTATGGGAAACAAAATAGAAGACATGAATGCGTGGACCTTGGTTAAACTGCCATGTTATATGCTAAACTTGGCAGATGAGATGAGAGCAGATTGATGATGGCGTTGACTTGGTGAGCTGGAGGGAAATCTATCAAAAGAAGGCTCTCAAACCCTACTAGGCTCTGAAGCAACACGACATCCTTTCTAGTCATGACAATTTTATGTAACCTAAAAACTATTGTCAAATGATAGATGAAATGGTTTTCACTCAAGTGGCTAATAATAGATATTTAAAGGCATCAAAGTGACTCACAATTTGATTTCCTAGTCAATTATAATACAAGCATATTTTCAGGTCAGCTCAGATGGAATAGCCCAATATCAACTCAATTTAAGTGGATTAGTGGCCCATGATATGTGAAGATATAATTCAGCCTAATTTAGTTCAAGATACCCTAATTAGAGATTTAGACTCATGTTAAATGCTAAAATCTCAATTCTCATGTTTCTTTTTATTTTCACATTTTATTTTTAAAATTTGAATTTCAAATATTATTATCAAATTATTAAGAGTGTTCTACCAAAACCTTCTTATTTTTAAGGGCTGTTTTAACTATTTTCCCATTTTTTAGGTTAGTTATAACTCATTTTCAACTAATAAATAGTCATTCCCTTATAGTCCTAGAGATAATTCATGTTTTTATCAATTTATTTTATATCTTTGCTAGTAGATTCTAATATTCTGTGGAGTCAAGAAATCATTTTTCTGATCATGTGGACTCAAGATCAACTCCTTGTGAACTCAAGGGGTGAAATCTCTCTGTTCTATTAATTCATGGCAAAGAGTTTTCAACAAAATCAAGTTTCATATGAATTCAAGGTTACGATTTAACTTCTAAAATATACATACTAAGCTGAAACGTGATCAGATCATCAGTTCTTCAAAATTATGCTGCATCACAATTTTCGAAGATAACTCATGATTAAATACGTTTATCTATATATGGTTCAAAACAAGTTATCAAACGAATTAATAGGAATCAACGCGGCTACAAAGATCTTAAACTCTTTCAAGTTATGTCTCACTTGATCGTCAACCCTACAGAAGACACAACTAAATGCTACCTATGCAGTTGCCCACAAGACTGATTTGGCAGATCGAAAGGCCCTATATGCCGATGCAGAGATCAAAAGATTTCCTAGAGTTTGAAATACTGCCAGAGATAAGTTTGATCATGCGGCGTACTGTGTAGCTGATTGCGTCTCCGAGTCCCTTGATCTTCAAGAATGCAAGGCACCTAGATGCCCAAGGGCACGCGTAGGATACATACAGATGGTACCGTCCGGCCTCTGCAGGGAAAGGCGATTCCTCGTCCCGCGAGATGAAGTTCCTGAAGGTCGACGGAGTCCTGTTGAAGGCCCCCGACTCGGTCATCTCGTCCAACTCCGACCCCGCCATCGGAGGTATCTGCTCAGAATGAGAAATTTTGAACTTACTCGGAGATGTTCTGCGACCCACAACCCGGAGCAGGGAATCAGAAGCCGGGGATTCATCGGATTCGCGGCAAATTACGCATCAATTGAGGATTGAAGGAACCCGAGGAAACCCTACTCCAGTGACGAAGGTGTGAAACTGAACGAGATGCTGACGAATTCAGGAAAGAAGAGTAATCCGCGAGAAGATCCATGGCGTCGGGGAAATTTCTGAGGATTTTTCTTGCTCTCCTTCTTCTTCTTCTTCTTCTTCTTCTTTCAACGTACCTGGACGACGTGGGCTGAGGCGGCTTTGGCGGCGGCAGCTATGGTTGAGAGGCGCCGCGGAGGACGAACCGACGGGGAGGAGCAGGGGGATCTCGAAAGAGGCAGAAGCAGCGAGATCATCCCACGTTCAAGGTTCCCGAAGAAATCGACGATCGAGTGGCCTGCAAGTCCGCCGGCTCCCTCGGACCCAGACAAGAAACTGACGGAAATGTTTTTGTCCGGATTCCTTTATCCGAAACTCGCAGAACCTGACCAGCCAAAGGGTGCCACCTGCCAAGATGATTGGCGCGGCCTTGGCGCGACACGTGGCCGGACGAGATTCGGACACGCTCCGCCGATGCAGGCCAGTTGTTCGCGTTATTCTTCATAGAAGTTTCATCGCCGCCCGATGGACTTTCTCCTCGACTTTCCTTAAAAGAGAAGAAAGCGTCCATGGCGGCGGCGGCGGCTGCAGCGAGGATTGCCCTTGCGGTCAACCCTACCGCCGTCCTCAAAGGTCCTCCCGGTGCAGCTTTCTCTTCCCTCGGGCTCGAATTTCCCCAGCTCAGGCGAGGAAGGAGAGCGAGACGAGGCTCTTGGGCCGCCGCCATGGGATCCTCCTCCTCTCGTCAGAAGCCTGACGACAGCAGCCTACAAGGTCGGTCTGTTCAAACTCTTTCTTCGTCTGGGTCTCGCCATGTTACCATGTTCAGAAAACATGAACTGTGCCAAAAAAACTAGCCGCCATGGGAGCGAGGAAGAAGAATCCAATCCCAGTACTCGCCCATGAAATATTCTATCATCCTCCGTTCGATGGTTCGCATCAGGAACCCAAGAACCGAATTCACTGGTTACCGACGACGCTCTCTTCTCGTCTTCTCTCAACGCAGGGGCTGCCGGTCAGGAGGTCCCCGCATCCTTCAGCGACGAAGAACTGAGGAAGCGGCTCACCAAGGAGCAGTACTACGTCACTCGGCAGAAGGGCACGGAGCGGGCATTCACAGGGTAAGATCCTGGACTTCCGCAATCCCCTGCTCTGGCTCCGCCGAAGAAAAACCTGTGAACAAGATTCAACTTTTGCGTTCCAATTTCAAGGGAGTACTGGAACACGAAGACCCCGGGGATGTACCACTGCATCTGCTGTGACACCCCCCTCTTTGAGTGAGCTCTCTCAACCCTTCCTTCGAACAGAGAATCCACTTGAACAACATGATTTGATGGCATTTCACTGTCCCCCCAGATCAAGAACAAAGTTCGACAGCGGCACCGGCTGGCCTTCCTACTACGAGCCGGCCTCCAGCAATGTGAGGTCGAAGCTGGATATGTCCATCTTCTTCATGCCCCGAGTGGAGGTCCTCTGCGCGGTCTGCGACGCCCATCTGGGGCACGTCTTCGACGACGGGCCGCCGCCCACTGGCAAGCGATATTGCATCAACAGGTGGGCGATCTCCCCCACCTCCCCCCCCCCCCGCCGGATAATTTATTATTCTCAAATTCTGAAATAAATTCTTCATTTATTTTTAATCCGAGCCCATTTTGCATTGCTCCTGAAATTTTATTTTATTTTTTCATTTTAATCGATTTATTTCTGCAGTGCGTCGCTGAAGCTGAAGCCCAAGCCCAAGCCCAAGTAGAGGGCCATCGTCCGAGTCGCTGCCTTTGATCGTGTTAATGTACGTTCTGTCTATCCTCTGTGGAGTTCATTAAAAGAAGGAACGATGAGCAAAGGTCAGATGAAGATTGTTTACTTAGTTTGGAACTTTTCAGTAATTTTCCCCGGGTAGAAGTACTAAAGAGGGGTGATTTGGAGTTGGGGGATGGAATGTTATGATACGTCCTCATCAAAACTCATACTGTCGTGATCACCAGGGGCACTAACCATTTTGTGAACCCTGTCCGTGCCGGCGCCATGTGCTGGGCACGCCGCGTGGGCTCCTTTATTGTACCTCCCCCTCAGCCCACGACGCTCGTCAGTTCCCGACCGAGAGAGAGAGCAATGTACGGTCTAGCACGTGGCGAGCTCAGATACTGAATCCGTGCCACGTGCCGATGAAAGCAAGGTGACGAGGCGGCACAGCCGGCGGTGGCCGGAGGAATCACAGTGTCTGGTGCGTGGTCGTCGACGAGATGATGTGGCAGAGCTCGGCGGTCGAGGAAGATGCCCGAGCACATGAGCTGGCTCCGAGTCATCGCCAGCGCTCCCTCTCGCGGTAACGTGGGCTGTGCGAGGTGAAACGGTCAGGGTAACAGAACTTTGACCGACCGCTGCTTTACGGGGTGGAGTAGCTTCTGCGCACCGCCCCCACAGGTACAAGTGGGCACTTGAGACGTACGCTCTCGCCGGGGTTTGATGCGGGCCCCATCATGGACAGTGTGAGCTCCACCATCCTCGTGTTCCTCTCTCTCTCTAGCTAGCTAGCTAGCTAGCTAGCTTGCTAGGGGGTGTAGAGACATGCATATGGAGTGGGACCCAGTAGCCTTGGTCTTTCATAGTTTGATAGATGTGATACCCATGAAAGCTTCAATGGGCGCATTAGCCATCCACCCATGGTCTCCCTACCAGCCAGGGCTAATAGTGGAGGTCGCTTTCGTCCGTTGGCCCCCAACGTCCCCCTTCCCTAATGGAATATAACGCGGAAGAGTCAACGGAATAGGATCAAACATGTGAGCAGAATTCGGCTTAGCACTCGTGGAGGCCAACTCCCCCTCTTGGTTCCTCTCTCGGCTGGCTAGCCGTACATCTGAGCCCACTTAAAGAAACAAACGTGGCTACTACACGAATATAAGAGGTCATTAAATCCCGCTAAAACCGGGGAATGACACGTGGATTTCATTAAAGCTTGGCCCATTTATTATTCCTGGAGAAAACACAATAAATGGATTTTAAAATATATTTCTTATTTCTTTCGGAGGATAGTTAGCGGCCTTGACGCGTGGACCAATGAGGTTTCAGATAAAATTAATACGTGCCCTTCAGATGAGTGAGAACTCCGCCGTCGAATCTTCGCTGTGAACGAACAGGTGACAGAATGATATAAGAGCCGTACGCCTGCGTCTTTCCCCGACGCACTGTTTCCATCTACAGCGAAACGTACCACGACATCTGGCAACCAGAGACATGGAGGGAAGAAGGAGAGAGAGAGAGCGAGAAGGGGGGATGTTGGTAAAAGGCGTGATTGTGCACAGCTGGTGCAGGCAGGCCCGGATTTTATCTCATTTTACAGCTGGAGACTCTCTCCCTCTCTCTCTAAATCTCTTCTTTTCTCTCTAAATCTCTCTCTCTCTCTCTCTACCTGTGCGCCGCAGGGCTCCGTATTCTCGGCAGGTCGCTGAGGACACAATCTCACATCGGCGTCTTGTTATTCTTTCGCCCCGATAACCGCGGAATCAGTGACGGCAGTGTAGAGGGAAGCGGGAGGAGTTAGTCGGAGAGCTAGAGAGAGAGAGAGAAAGAGGGAGAGGAAGGCGGCAGGACTGCCAGTGCTTCACCATCGAGGGAGGGAGGGAGGGGGGAAGGGGGGAGGGACCGGAGCAGCCATGGAGGCGGCCCCCTCGGCCGCCACCGCTGCCGCCGCCGTGAGTTGTTACGCGGACTCCGTTGACTCCATGTCCCCGCGCTCCCGCGGAGGGGACCTCTGGGACGATCCCGTGGCGGCCTCGGCGGCTCCAGCGGCGGCGGCATCCAAGCTCCGGCTGATGTGCAGCTTCGGGGGGCATATCGTGCCGCGCCCCCACGACAAGGCTCTCTGCTACCTCGGCGGCGAGACGCGCATCGTGGTGGTGGACCGCCACGCGACTCTGGCCGACCTCCACGGCCGCCTCTCACGCTCCCTCCTCGCCGGCCGCCCCTTCTCCCTCAAGTACCAGCTCCCGTCGGAGGACCTCGACTCCCTCATCTCCGTCACTGCCGACGACGACCTCGACAACATGATCGAGGAGTACGACCGCATCGCTGCCTCCGCCGGCGCCGGCAAGCCTTCCCGCCTTCGTCTCTTCCTCTTCCCCGCCAAGCCGGCCAGCGTTCCCGCCGGCGACGCCTCCACTGACTCCATCAGCTCCCTCCTCGACGACTCCAAGTCGGAGACCTGGTTCGTCGACGCCCTCAACGGCGCCATGCTCGGCCGCAACCTCTCCTCTGGCGACTCCGCCGCCTCCTCTTCCGTCAACTGTCTGCTCGGCCTTGACGACTCCCACCCCTCCCCCAACGACGACGGCTCGCTTCTCCGTTCGTTCGGATCGGCTTCGTCAGGGCCGTCGGTTTCCAACCCGAGGGGGGGGATCGGCGCTGGGCTGGACGGCCACTTCTCTAACGATCTGAAGCTCCCGCCACCCCCGCCACCGCCGCCGCGGGCGCAGCAGCAGCAGCAATCGGTTGGGGACGTCTTCAATCTCCACTGTGGCCAGTATTACCCCACACCTCCTCAGCCTCAACTCATCAGCCCTAGTTCTCTCACGGCGACGTCGGCCGCTGGCTCCGCCGCAAGCAACATCTCCCCCGGGGAGACCTCGGTCCTTGGTCGGGATCTCTCCTCCGACGACGATAAATCAGACAATGGAGGAGCTCGGCGATCTCCGACTCCTCAGCCCAAGGATCAACAACAGCAGTCCCAGCAGCAGAAGTCTAACCTTCTGGATGTACCCATCTCCGGCGACTCCTATTCCAGGTATTCCCCGGTGATTCCCCACGCTTTCTTCAATCCACTGATGTTATCTTCTAAATTCCCCGCCGTCTTCTCCATTTAGACCCATCTACTATCAGGATAGGCCTCCCCCTGCCAGTGATCCGAAGCAGGAGGTCGCCATCGCCGACTACCGCCAGCCCGTGCATGTCACAGATCAGGGTTACCTGATGCAGCCGCTGCCGCCGCCGTTGCAGGCAGTCGACCAGCTTCAGCAGCAGCAGCAGCAGCAGCAGTATCAGCAGCAACAGTTCGTCCAGGCTCACCCGCATTTGGCCCCCCTCTCTTCCTACTACCAGTTCCCCATCCACCCGCAGCAGCAGCTTCCCCAAGCCGCCGCCCACCCCTACAACCCCCAGGTTCCCATGTACTTCCTGCCCGTCCGGCAGGACCCTGGTTATAACCTGAACGGCGACCCCTCCTCAGGCAAGCCCACCATCCCCATGCCCACCGCCGTCCTCCCCTCCCGGGTAGCGCCCCCGAAATCAGACTCGGCGGCGGGGAATGCCTTCCGCGGCGGCGCCTCCGCCGGCTCCCAGCCGCCGCAGCCCACGCAGCTTCTCCACTTGCCGGACCAGCACCGCCAGTTCGTCGGCTACCACCCATTGCACCCCCACCCCTCCCCACCCCCTTCGGCGGCGACCGGTTATAACTACGAGTTCTCGGATTCAGTCCATCCCCAGCATATATACTATGCCATCAGCTCTGGAGCCGCCATGGCCGAGTCCCCTCCGGCAATGCAGCTGCAAGCCGAGGCCAAGCAGACCAGAGGTTCATAGCCGCCGCAAGGTTAGTAGACCAGGAGTCGCCATTAATACACTAGACAGCATAGAGAGGTGTATATCTCATCTTCTTCCCCTCGTCGTCCTCTGTGGGTTCGCTGTATTCTTCGTCTTCCTCCCTCCTGTGAGTTGTGATTAGCGAATAAGAGAGCTGGAAGAGGCCCAGCCACCTTCCTCCTCCCCCGAACCGGCGGTATACCTGTTGTTCTCGTCGTTTGTGAGTAATTCTGGAATAATTTACAGTCCCTTGGGTCTAATCCTCGGTCTGGTCTGCTCTTCCTCCCTGGATTCTCTCTGAATCTCACGCCGCTCTTCCTCCTCTGGCCTAGCAATTCTTCCAGTCCTCTTGTCGAACGGGTGATGTGCATCCATTGGTGTAGACCCCACCTGGAGCTCCATCAACCGGGAGGATGGGGGAGGGGCGTGGCGCATGACGAGACAGGCGGCGGGCCAGCGACCCCGTTTCTCCTTATTTTCTACTCTTCGTTGAGCATGCTTCTCGACGGAAGCGTTAAGCCCACTGCATCATCATTCTGTTGGCTTCTTCTTCTTCTTTTGTCTCCCTCTCCCTCTCCCTCCGTCGCCATGGCGAGCCCTAGAAGTAGGTTCGTGGGACCGAGGCTGGTTACTTTTCGCAGGATATCTGGTGGGCGATCTTCAGGCGAGTTTCTAGGTTTTTCTTTTCTTCTTCTCATTCTGAAAGAAGGAAGGGGACCCCTGTGGGCTTGCTGATCCACCTACCAGCAGTAGAACCCAAAAAAACTGTTGCCGTCTTTTGAGAGATTAGGTGGGCGGCGAAAATCACGGCGACTAATCGAGTAGGCGGTGCCGTTTTTCTGAACATTTTGGTGGGCAGTCTGAGCTTCGCTTCCCAGGTTATTTATTTATTTATTTATTTATCCTGAAGAAAAAAAGGGCTTCCGTGGGTTGTCTGGGTTGCTGTAGAGCAAGATAAATTACGATCAATTGGTGGCCTTACTGTGAACACTTTGGCCATCAGCTCACAGTCAACGCCGGGCCTTGACCATCAACCCACCTGCCACTTCGCTTGGCCCCACTTTGCGGGGACCCTACCCTTCCTTGTCTCGTCCCACGACAACGCCAGTGGACGGCAGGTTTCAAAGGCTGCGCCTGAAAGTCACCGCTGCCCCTCTCTCTCTCTCTAGCTAAACACGGTAAGGCTGAAATGAAGATGGGCCAATTTTGGGCTGGGCGGGAGCCCACAGTTACTAAACGGGTCCTTTCATGGATCGGGCAAATCAATCGAGCCTCTACGCTGCGGACGCGTCATCTAGTTGGTTAGGTTAGACCCGAAGGGATCCGAGTAGAGCTGAAAGAGGGATCGGTGGGCCCCAGAGGGATCTCTCATACGATCCGAAATAAGAAATTAACGGACGGCTGTGATTAGATTGTGTCGCTGAGGAAGATCCGGGAAGTGGGCCCTATTCCGAGAAGCATCCAAGAAGCATACATGGCGACACGTTTCGAGTTGGTCGCTTTATTCCCCTTCCCCTCTTTAATGGGCTCCCTCGCGGGTAAACCGGCTGCGTGCTAGCGCTGCGCATCCAAGTCAAGCGCAACGCATAAAAAACGACTGGGAACGTGAATTAACAACTTTGTGAGTCACGTTTTCTCTGATACGTACGGGTGTGATGTTCATCACAGGGACACTGCAAAGGAACGTCCGAGCGCCAATAATATCCCTTTCTTTTGAAGTTTCTGGCGGGGTAGCCTCTTCCTGCTTCTCTCTCTCTCTGTCTCTCTCTCTCTTTACCTCCACTGGCAGTTTTCTTGGACTGCACAGAGTGTCCTCTTCCAAGAACCGCGTCCAAAGTCTACTACGAGGCAAGGTAACCCTCTTCATCTCTCCATCTCTCTCTATCATCACACGGGAATACGTTCATTTCTTCTTCACCACGCTCCCTTTCTCGCACTGTAAATTTCTTGACGACGCTGCGTCGGTGTATAGAAGACCGGAGCTATTTCGGTTGGTTTGATAATTTTGCGGCCTTCGACGGACCCCACAGCCTTAAAGAGTCTTCAATCCGAATAGTTAGCCGGGAGGAAGTTGGTGCTTCCATTTCTTTGGAAGCCGGGAGGTTGGGGGGGGGCCATCGAGCGCAGCATTGCGTGAGACACGGGAGAGATATTCTGAGGACATCTGTTACGTATAGAGAAAGGATGCTATCTTGTAGGTTGTTGGATTCTTTCAACAGGGTATATAAGTTACCTCTCTCGCTTTTTTTTTTCCCCCCCTTTCCCTCTCAGTTTCATCTTCTGCCTTCGGTCGATATGCCTGTGCTGTCTGCTGGCGCTGCATTTAGTGTTTTTTGATGCGACACCTCTCGGGCATTTTCTCATGAGAGGCTACAATCTCTGTTGGTTCTGCTAGTCTATCCTTGACCTTGGGTTTTATAGCCCCGGCTTATGGCTTTCACTGCTTGCTTGCCCTTGCTTTAAGGCAAATAAGAAACTGAAAACCCAGGACAATAGTCAATATAGTGGGCCTTAATCCTATGGTTGTTTTGTAATGAACGGCGAGAAAATGGAAGTTTCTTGAAATGGAATCGGCCAGCTATTCACCTCCGCGGAAAGAAATGTAGAATTTTAGTATATGTTTCCAATAGTTGCCATACTGCAGTAGTCCTCATTTTTTGCTTCGGCAGTAGACAATCTGGCTCAAGGATTTTGAAAAAACGTGTTATTGGCTTGCTTACCATTGACCACATTGCTTGACAAAAACCGAGTCCACCTGGGTGCGTAACAAATACACTGTGCTTGGTTGGCATTCGGTGGCTTACAGTTGGGTCACAAGGTTCCTTTGATTTTGTAACAAAAAATAAGTCGTCTATAATTGAAGTTCTTGAGCATGACTTTGGGGGTTGGACTATAACAACCCTTTGCTGAGAATGTAGACTGTGGGCCCAAATTTAGTGCATTGATGCTTCTTCATACATGGCCCGAGACCATGCCTACCTTTTCCTCATACATTTATGCTGATTTTCTCCTCTCAGTTTATCTATTGACTCGAAACTTCATATCTCTATCCCTTTGGTTTTGGTATCCATGACTAAATGTTTTTGTTGTCGATTTTCCACCACTATTTATCCAATGTTACAACCAGCATGCCCCATATTTTTGTCCAATCATACTAGACTGCCGTCTTGTAGGATTCTGAATTTATCTAGGGATCCTCTCTTCTCATCTCTATTATTAACCTCCCCCTCTTTGAATCCTCATTGAAAATGGGAGTACAATTGTGAAGTTATCTGTATATGGTTGCCAGCCTGTGTCCTATGGCTATGTTTCTTGTTTGCAATGGGATCAGGATGGTGGTTAGTTGGCGCAGCAGTCAATCCGTCCTGTTTGAGCTATTTTTTTAAGCTGAGGTGCAGGAGTCGGAATGGAAATAGGAAATAATAAGAAAGGAAGAGGAAAAGAAGGGAAAAAAGGAGCCTAGCCATCAGCTATTGGTCGTACAAATGAGTTGAATGGGGCACGTAAAGTAAAAAATCGAAGGATAAGTAACCAAAATTGACGACAGGGGAGAGTTCCATTTGATGTATCTTTCATAGGTTTTCTAACTTTATATATTGTTGGATGCAAAAAGGTCACACAACCTTTACTGTTCTGTAGAAAATGATTAAAGGTTAATCTACATTGCCTGAGACATGTAAATCTGTAAACGGGGATATTTTGTGCAGGCTAATACATTGAATGCATGATGTCTGGGCAATCGCAGAGTCAGTGTTGCGGATGATTTACCAGAGGAAATTAATCCTCCATTATCGATGCCCACTCAAAGTTGTAGGAGCCTACAACATTGGAATGCAGTTTTACTGGATTAGTATTTCTTCAACTTCACTGGGTTCAGCTATGAACATGCGTCCAAAATATCTAATCCCTGAGATTGGTACCTCCAGGAACGGATATAACATCATGCAGTAATGGATGTTGACATAGGTTATTTATATTTATTATACACAACACTAGGTATGCATACCGTCCTTGACATTTACTTGATGCAAATATTTATGTAATTAGAGGATATAAATCAATGTCCATTGGCTCCAGGCGTAGGTCATATATTTTGGACACCAATTTACTAATCTCGCTTGTTTTAAAATTATTGTCATACGCCTCATGGTATACACATCAACTTTTTAGGCTCTGCCACTCTGACAGCGAAGATGGACTTAGCGACTCAAAACAGAATGTGGACCTCTAATACCATGTTAAATAATTGGGGGATCTAACTATTTTATGCACAGGATTTGATGTTTCGCACTAGACGTTGAAGTATATCAACACATATATTGCTGGGAACCATTTCTTAGTTCTTAGTGAACATGTATATTTTTTTCTTGGGACTGATTGCCTTTTTTCTTTTTTTAACTTACCTCTTTCCTTTGTTCGTTTCTTCTTTCTATTGATTTTGACAGAACCACATGAGGGAGGTTCAGCTAGGTGCACATACCATTCAATCCCATGGAGCTAAACTGGCAAAAACACATATGCATGACTGGCTTATACTTGTTCTTCTGCTGGCCATTGTAGTCATTTTAAACGTAATTCATCCTTTCTACCGTTTTGTGGGTAAAGACATGATGGATGATTTGAAATATCCCCTGAAGAGCAACACTGTCCCAGTCTGGGCTGTTCCAGTATGTTTTCCTATTTTTTTTGTTGTTGTTGTAATTTTCCATTTATTTTCCTTTCGTATAAGTTAAAGGAATATAATAGCTGTGGTGGTCTTTTGTCTCCCATGGTTTCACCAGATAGTCGCTGTACTTGTGCCCGTTCTCATTTTCCTCGCCTTTTACTATCGAAGAAGGGATGTGTATGACCTGCATCATGCCATTCTAGGTACTTTCTTCTGTTTCCATATACTTGCTCTGTCTCTTGCATCCAAGCAAGTGAAGAGAGATGCGAATCCCTGATGCCAAATTATTCGCCATGGCAGGCCTTCTGTTTTCTGTCTTGATTACAGCGGTTATTACGGACGCCGTTAAGGATGCGGTTGGACGACCAAGGCCTGATTTTTTCTGGCGTTGCTTTCCTGATGGGAAGGAGGTAGATAGTTTCCTCGTTTCCAGTCCTGAAATTCAGTTTCTCTCTCTCTCTCTCTCTGTGCTTTCGTTTTCGATTTTTCTCAGCTTAACCTTACGACGGGGTATAATGCACATTTTTCCTTCAGTTATATGACCAAGTGACAGGCAATGTAATCTGCCACGGAGAGGGCGGCGTTGTGAAGGAAGGGCACAAGAGTTTCCCAAGTGGGCACACCTCATGTATGTTTTCCCGTCATGATTTCTCATTTGATAGTTATCTACTGGCCGTCGATCACTGGTTTTTGTTTCGAGAACATCAAGACGAGACAATTTCGATCACTGGTCGGAGGATTAAAGGCAGGAGGATATATGATTGAACCATGGAATCTCTTGTAAAGATGGTTTTTGCAGGATATAATGACCCACCCAAGTCGATCCCACCATGTGCAGGGTCATTTGCAGGGCTCGGCTTCCTCGCGCTGTACTTGTCGGGCAAGATCAAAGCGTTCGACCGGCGAGGCCACGTAGCGAAGCTGTGTATCATCTTCCTCCCCGTGCTGGTCGCGTCCCTCGTCGGAATCTCCCGCGTGGACGACTACTGGCACCACTGGCAGGACGTCTTCGCCGGAGCCCTCCTCGGTCCGTCTCTCCCCTTCCCACCCCCTCGATTATGTTTCTTCATCGTCACCCTCCCCTCGCTCTGAGAGTTTATCCATCTCCTCCCCCACCCCCTCCCTCCTTCAGGAACCGTGGCGGCTGGGTTCTGCTACCTTCAGTTCTTCCCCGCTCCGTACCACTCAGACGGTAACCGGCCTCCCTCCCGCCTCCTCATCCTTTCGCCCCCCTAATCGGACGGCAGCGCCTTGCGGTGTGCAGGCTGGGGGACCTATGCCTACTTTCAGATGCTGGAGTCGCGGGCCTCGGTGAACCCCGCCGCGGGGATGAACGACGAGCTCGCTCGAGGGGAGGGCGGCGAGGGGGAGTGCTCCCGAGCTCGGAGCCACTGGGCCTCCGTGCGCGATGGACTTGGGACGGGCGAGGTATGACCGCGCCGCGCCTGCCGCCCTTGCCTTTCTTCCACCCCCCACAAAACCTGAAAAAACTGGTGTGTACCTTCCTGTTCATGCAAAATTTTGCCACTTTGGGAGGATCCCCGTGGTTGGCAGCCGTGCTTAGATTTTCTCCTCATTTGATTCCATCTCCCCGCCGAATTTTCCTATTATTATTATTATTTTGTAGTATATCCTTGAAATTTGGCGTAATTATCTGGATAAAGTAATTAAACGCGTTTATTTGATTTGTATCCTTTCTTTATCTACTTTTTTTATTATTGCTTGAAGTCCACGCTTGCAGGTGCCGAGGGGGGCATTCTTGGACGGGATATTATTTAATATTTTTTATAATAATAGCAACAGTGTGTCGGCGGGGTAGGAAGGGAAAACAATCGACGGATCTGCGAACTAACCTGAACGCTTCCCCCCCCCCCCCCTCTCCGACCGTCTAACTCTCTCTCTCTCTCCCTCCCCCTTGTGTCGTTCTCTCTCCGTGGACTTCTGTTAATCCTCTCCAAAGTGTGGCAGTCAACGCGCGCTCGGTTTATACTTGTCGAGTGAACGGCGAAGGTTTGCGTCGCGTGTTCATCAGGTGGCTTCCGCCCCGGTCCCAGCCTTGCCGCGCAGTCCGCCTTCCTCAGTTGAACCCTTTCCCAGTCCAGGTTGGTCGTCCTTCTGTCCTGTTATTTTTCGTCGCGTGGCATCTTCGTCTCCGCTGGCGTGGTGTGCTTGGTGGATTTTGGATCTCTCGCTGTCCTTCGCCCAGCTGGTCTCGCTGGTGTTGATTGCGGGCGGGGGAGAAGGTTCGGTTTTCTTTTTTTCTTCTTCGGGGGAGGATTCGCTCCAACTGTCATAGCCCCTTACACACCAGGGAGAAGGGAAGTTCCAACGGTACGTAAACAGGAGCGGCTGAGGCTTTCCTGGCGGGCTTGGTTCCTTGTCGAGCTTACAGCGTCGGCCTGTCGGGGTCTTGATCGATGATTCGTATGATCTTTTGAATGTTGGTTTTTTTTGACATACTTTCTCTGCGTCCGGCGTGGCTCCCTCATTTCTTCGTTGTTCAAAAATCAATGTTACAGATATAATCGGTTGCTATCTCCGTGCTGGAACTTAACCGAGAAAATGATTTGTAAATTTTCCTTTGTCGGATTTAAACTCTCTTTACTCTGGAAAAAAGTTGTTTTTCAGGGAGGAAACGGCGAATCACAAAATGATGTTCAATCGAGTTTTGTGCTTCTGTAGTGCTGAATCTATGGTAGTAGAACTTTTCCTCTTGGACTGTTTTCTGAAAGGAAATTCCTCCGCATTTCTCTCAAGGATCTTTCAGATATTTTCGAAAGATCTACGAATGATAGAAGGTTTGTGGATCACATCACCAAGGAGAAACTGGGATCAAATAAGCTCCTTTATTTATGTTAATGGTTTTGACTGGATCTAATGAGAATCAACTTGGGGTCTTGAGTAATCGAATCATCATTCATCATTTAAGACTGCTGCCGTTTGTTCCAACTCATGTGACTATGTGTTCACGTGACCGAATATTATTTTGAAACTCTCCTGGCTGATGTGAACATGTTATGGAGATTATGACTTGAAACACCACTTATCATATGTTCGATAACCTGATTGGAATGGAATCTTCAAGGCCTTGCTATATCTGTTGTGACAGGATGGTCTGATTTACAACACGAAAACGAAGGGAGTTATGCCCAAAATCTTGCTTGATCCGGTAACCAAGGTTCGACAACCGCACATATGAAAAAATATGAAAAATATGAAAGCTATAATGGTTCCGATCGAATGGAGATTATGACTTGTAATGACTCACCTATGTTTAAGACCTTGAAATGATATATCCTTTTTATATGTGTCGATTAATCCCGCTGCATATCAAAGATTGGAAGGAAGAAAAACCATCATGATCCAAATGTTGACAGACTTGGATTGGGTTGGCAATCGTTCTTACAGGAAAAGTTCCAATAGTTTTTTAGTTAAATGTTGTATTGTTCAAATCCAGGGGTTCAAACTGCGGAAAGGTTCTCTCAAGTATACAGTATGCTGATTTTTTGCCTAAGTTTCTGATTTTTTTATTCTTTTGTAGGACAAAATGGCAGACAGTCACGTGGGGGTTCACACTATAAAATCTCATGGAGTAAAGGTTTTAAGGTTCCACATGCACGATTGGTTTGTCTTCTTACTTCTGGTGGGGATAGAAATTGGATTGAATGTTATAGATCCATTTCACCGCTTTGTTGGAGAGGATATGATGACAGACTTGAAGTACCCGCTTAAAGATAATACAGTGCCATTTTGGGCTGTTCCAGTATGTTCTTTCACCTGACGTTTGTGCTTAAGATATTCTTCACTGACTCGATTATGATTCTGGATTATACTTGACGAAGGATAAACACTTGTTCTTTCTTCCCCTGTAACAGCTCATTGCGATTGTATTGCCTCTCTTAATCTTCATTGCAATCTACTTCAGGCGGAGAGACGTCTATGATTTGCACCATGCCATTCTAGGTAGATCTTAAGATACCTTCAAATATACGAATATAACTTCTCCACGGGCGTGTATAGTATCGAATTATTGCTGAAATGCTCGCATCCTGGCAGGGCTCCTATATTCTGTGCTTGTAACTGGAGTCATAACGGATGCAATTAAAGATGCCGTTGGTCGCCCTCGACCGGATTTCTTCTGGCGATGTTTCCCTGATGGAAAGTCGGTGGGTCAATATTAGGACTTGAATTTAATTGCTCATTTTCTTGACAAAGTTGGCAGCACGATCTAGTGAGTTGCATTATTGATCTAGTGAGTTGGCAGGCTTTTGATCCTCTCACAGGAAATGTTATATGCCATGGATTGAGGAGTGATATCAAGGAGGGGCACAAAAGTTTCCCTAGTGGGCATACATCCTGTAAGTAGCGGAGGATCATCTTAGCGAAATTTTTGGTTGATTTTGTTCTTTACATATTTAATTAGCTATTCTGTTGGTTACTCCTTTTCTTTCATTAGATTGGCCATTGTTCCCCAACATAATTTAGTCAGTTTTAGTATGAGTTTGGGAGACAGACATTGTATGAAAGAAAGGTTTCATATCGAAATTTAGCTTATTAATGGGGGAAGCTTATCTGAAGGGTGAGCCCACGTGGAACACAGAAGAAAACTTGCATCTTTTGTTGCGGCTTTAAGGATTCTGCATATCACGTGTTTGTGGACTTCGAGTGTTTTATAAATACGATTGTGAAACTTCGAGAGCGTTTGACATTCACTTGCAGTTATTTGGATATATTTTTCAATTGATGCCATTTAAACTCCTTTCAACTCTGAACAAGACTGTGATTAGACGGTTACAAACTCTTCCCTTATTACAGAGCCTGTTTTACGAAGAACTAGTTGGGAACTATTGGGTCACATCTCAATGGGAGTTTTGGGATGCCTTTAAAACTGGGGACCTTACGATATCTGGTTATGCTTCTTTGGTTTTTGGCCTTTTTGTTCTTTTGAGCATATTAAATGATTCTCTCTCTCTCTCTCTCTGAAATGTGCAAACTGTAATTCCAAGAAACTCCCCGCCCCAAACACACTCACACCCAACAAAAAAAGTATAATGAATTTCAATAGTCTTAGGCCTGCACTATTTTGCATATTATCAGTGGCATTTCTGCATACACGTTCACCTATTATTATTCTGATTGATAAGGTTTGCTAACTCTTGTTAATGTACACGGAAAAAGTGGAGGTGCTCTAAGTTGTTGATTGAATAAATGACTAGTGTTATAGTGTGGGTTTGTGGAACGCCCTGTTAAAAAATATCTGCATTATATTTGCATGCACAGTTACATAGTCCTATCATACCCTTGGAAAGATTTTTCCAATCTTGTTAAATATTCGAAACCATCTCTCCGTATCCAAAATTCATGAATGTTCTTCTGCTATGCCCCCTACTGAAACAAGGGTCCTGCTTTTTGACCATCCATTTTAACGACTTTAACAACATAGTTTTTCGGGGAAGGGACGGATGCTGATTTTAGTCATTCTACAAAGAAATGGTCCATCTTTTTTCATTAAGCCAGCTTTACTTCATCAGTCTGTGACTTTTGCTACGTTCGTAGGCATATTTACTGATCAATTTGCAATAAAAAGTCATTCTCACGACCCTTCCTTCGCCCTTTCTATCTTCATACTCTTTGCAAAGAGCCTCATTATTTACCCGCACGAGGTTTTGCAGGGTCCTTTGCAGGCCTAGGCTTCGTTTCATGGTATCTTTCAGGGAAAATCAGAGCTTTTGATCGCCGGGGACATATTGGCAAACTCTGCATTGTTTTCCTTCCTCTACTTGTCGCAGCTCTTGTGGGGGTCTCTAGAGTGGACGACTATTGGCACCATTGGCAAGATGTATTTGCAGGGGGACTTCTAGGTTTGTAATAGTATTTTGCATCAATACAATTTCTCCTGGGCTTATCCATAATAGTGTTAATTTATGTGCAGGACTAACTGTGGCTTCATTCTGCTATCTGCAATTCTTTCCACTGCCATATGATACCGAGGGTATACTTTCTACTTATGTCATGTTATTTATTTCAAATGCCAAAAGCTTTTTCTCGGTTCATTCCATTTTCTTCACGAACTGTGCAAGGCCTGAGACAAATAGAGAGACAGAAAATGAATGACACGGGTTCATTTTCTTCGAAGCTTGTATGTCTGAGTGCATTAGCATCTATTGAGACGGTTTGATGATTTGGTCACGCTTGAACAGAGAGAAATACTACTTCCATTTTATGATAGATATCAGGCTTCAATGCATGAATACAAAGCAGCAAATATTCCAGTAATTTGTGTCATGCTATTGTTTGATCCACATTCTGTGTTCCCCTCTTGGGTTGTGCCTGGCAACCCAGTTGCGTTGTGGTAAGAACCTAGATTGCATGTGGATGCTTACTAACTTCCATGTCCGATATGACTAATAAGGTTAATAGGTATAGAGTGAACAGGAGGGCACTCCCGTGGCGCTGAATCCGGACTTCTTTCTGCAGGTTGGGGGCCTCACGCCTACTTCCGGACCTTGGCGGAGATGGAGCAGGCCAAGGATCGGCCATCCATCTCCCTAGCAGACTCCCACGTCCAGCAACAGGAGGGTGAAGCCCTGTGCCTCGTGTCGTCGGGTGCCCAGGGGCGAGTAGACGAAGCAGAGACACGCCCTGTCATCGAGGACATCGAAAATGGAAGGAGGCAATGACGGAGGACATTCTCCCCACCGAGTATCGTGACAGATATATGTAAAGCCTCCCTCTACCGCCATCTCCCTTTTCCTCTGTTTTAACTCCCCCTAAGGTGTTATTCCATAGCTGTGCACTCTATAACGCTTCTCATTCCGTGAAATGACTTAAAAGAGTAGGAGGCGTTGACCTTGATTCCGGTGGAAAGAACCAGCATTCTTGCCGCAAAGCTTCGGTCAAAATCGACAGCCATCGTCTGGCTGGCAGGGTGCGGATGCACACACATGAACCCAGAACAATTTTCCCTAAGACCTTTGAGCCATTTCTGCCATTCAGAAATGACGGACTACAGAGAGAGATAGAGATAGATAGCGAGAGAGAGAGTGAGAGAGAGAGCTGAGTGGAAACGAAGGTCAGACATAAGATCGAGTGTTCTACAGCCAAGGGCAACATGAGATACGAGCAATACAACGACCAGCACTACCCTTGGTGAAAGAGATGCACCAGATCAAAGATGTGAAGGAAATCTATTGAAAGCACGTCAATTCAGACAATGTTTCCGATGGATTAGTGAAATTCCCACATTAGGAAGCCACATGTTCTGTATCATCAATCTAATGATACAAAAATTTCATGATTGGATGCCGCATTTGGAACTGCCCAAGAATCATATAACCAAGGATCTTCCAGACGGCACATTTCGGGGCTAATAATAACACTGGGCTCCTCCACCAAACATTATAGAGAATAAAGAGTTATTGAGGCAGCCATGGAGAATCTTCCGGGCAAGCAACTCCACGAAGGCTGTACATCTAAACATTCTCCATCAAAAGCCTCAACCAAAGTAAAAAGCTGGCCTAATTGTTGGTTATCCGCTGGTATCGTCATTCATGAGCCATCGGAGAGATAATGGCAGACAGTTTTGGTTCATCTTTCAATGGCGTAACGACGAGTTCCATCTGTGGCCTCCCCTAGCGTGAAGATTAATGGAACGATACATCGGTGGACCGAAATATCATGACGATCGATTAATTTATCCAAGCAGAGGCATATAGTTCGCAGTGATAGAAAGATGGAACTATAGAACTGCTAGCAAGTAGATCCAGAGGACATCAACAACGCGCAACAAAAACAAAAACATATGGATTTCAACAAGATCGGATTGGAAGATGATCCATTCACCGTTGTTGATGATGACGAAAATGGTAATAGCACGAAATCTAAATCTCAGAACAAATGAGGGCAAAAATTGTCTTCTTAATTTCAGCTTTTGATGAACAGAATCCCAAAATGGAAAACCTAAGCAGCACCAGTAAAGATCAAAATGAGAAAGATGAAGATAAGCAAGATAGGAGGGGATGGATCATGTCTCTTCGTCTAAAGAGTGGTTTTGGTGATCGATTAATCGATCTCGCCAAGGGATGGGGCGGCAGCACCTGCACCAGCAGCGGCGACATCCTCAGCGGAGAACTTACCCTTGGCCTTGTCGGTGGCAGTTGCCCGGCCCTTCGCCTTGCGTTCGAGGAGGGCCTTGCGATCCTTGTCTAGCTTGAGCTTAGTGACGATAACCTTGGAGGGGTTGATACCGACGTTGACAGTGGAGCCATTGACTTTCTCACGGGTGATACGCTCGACGTGGATGACCCATCGGCGGCGGTAGACCTGGACGACCTTGCCCTCGCGGCCCTTGTAGGTTCCCCTCACCACCTGCACCTCGTCGTCCTTGCGCACCGGCACCGACCGGACGTTGTACTTGTTGCGGAGGTCCGTCGAGAGGGGGGCGCTCATCAGAACACGCCGCACCGACGACGGCGCGGTGAAGTGAGCCTTCCGGCTCTTCCTCCGGGAGCTCGACACGCGCGGGTTGTACTTCATCTTCGCCGCCGCCGCTGCCGCTGCCGCTGCTGCAATCCCCTGCCTTCGTCCTTCCGATCTGCCGCCGAGACCTTGCCTACCGAGAGTCTTCTACGCTTATATAACTGGCGCCGCTGGAGGCAGCCGCAAGGGAAGGCAAGAGAGGGATGGTACGTTAGGGTTTATTGAAATAGTATTTAGACAATATTACCCCTACTTATTTCCTCATATTACACGATACCCCATTCCAATCTCTTCTAAAAAAGCGAGGCATCTCTCTCCGGCCCAATCGGCCCATTACCATTAAAATGGGTTACCCGGGAAAATGGAAAATAGATAATAAAAAAGAAATGATTTTAATTGTATTTTTTTGGTCCAATCCCAACTGGCCCACTTGGCCCATTTTTTTTAGATTTTGGGCCTCCATTTGAAATCCGAAAAATAAGATTAGGGCCCAGCCTAATGTTGTCCTATGGAGATCGATCCACATTATAGCGGAAGCTCCTTCTAGACGGTATGAGAACATCAGTATCTCTCCCCCTTGGCCTCTACGCGCCAAGATGTGGGTTTCATAGGGTCTAGTAGGAGTCCATCTTATGAGCTCATCTTTCGGCCCAGGCTGGTCTGTGGGCCTCGTGGAAGAGATTTGGGCTAACTAGCTGAAGCCCAATAGCAGACTAGTCAGGCCCATTTCTCGGCCCCCACAAAAATTGACGTGACGCTGAAGGTCGCAGACCCCAGTAAACAGGCCACGTGGACACGTCTCCATCGTAGGCCATCCGTGATTCGAAGGGCCCCACAACACCGCTTTCCCGACGAATGTCAAACGGCGGTGGGTCCCACAGGCCCAACTTTTCCACTCCGCTCAACTTGGACGGACAAAGTAACCCACGCTGCTCGACTCCTGTCTATGCGACGCGCTGTCCTCCGGTCCGGTCACCGGTTCGACTTCTACTATAGTTATATTTTCTACGAGTATCATAATTATACTAAGGAGCTGCGGAGAGCAGGTGTCCGTAATTCTCTAATATCTTAAAACATAAATTTTATTTAAATAGTAATTTTATAAAACCTGAAAAAATGCATGTTATTGAAGTTTTATGCTCAATAGTTGGTATAGATGGAAATATTGATTTAATTTGCTTCAAGACCTCCGATATTCACAGTTTAAATCATAATTCGGTCACGTTATTGAGATTATTTGTTTCTCTTTTTTTAAAGTATGATCGATCCCCCGGACGAGTGGAGATGGTGGCCCACGTTTCCTCTCTATCTCTCTCTCTCCACCCGTCTGGTGGAGGGTGAATAAGCCCGCCGCTCCCTAGTTTCTCTGTCATACGTGGACCGGTCGTCGTCGGCGACAGAGAATCCCATGCGCCCTATCGCCACGCAATGGATGTGACGTCAGAGGGTATAAGGTGGTGGGACCCACAACGGTAAGAAGAGACGCTCTCATGCGATCACTCGCGGAATAGCTTACTGATAGGAGGTTTCCCTCAACTGGTCGGAAGAGGCTTGGGGCAGGCTGATGCGGTGGCTATAGAGAAGGTGCGCGGATCCCTTATTTTGCCTCTTTGTTAGCTACGCGCCACAAGATTAGGTTCGAGGCGTTTCCATTGCTGGCAGTATTTTATTTTCACCGCCGAGGGAATGCCGGTGACGTGATCTGCCCAGCGTGAGGCTTCCTCTTCTTCCTCCCCCTCTGTGGTCAGGTCTGGTCTGTCTTCGGTGACATAAGACCCCCAGCAGCCCCCTTCCGGCCCAACTGTAGCAGTAGGAACGAGAGAGCCAGCGATGGCGGAAAAGTCCCGCAACCGATCTGCGATCTTCCTCGTCATCTCTCCACTTTTCTTCATCATCTCGGCCACCACCGTTCACTGCCGGTCCATCTCCCCCAAGTCCGTCGCCCACACCGCGACGCTCGACGTCGCCGCCGCCTTGGAGAGGACCGGCGCGGTTCTCTCTCTAGACCATCAAACGAAGCAATCCCTCCTCCACCAGGAGGAGCTGAGAGGGAATGAGAATCGCCACCACAGTACTGCGCCCGGATCCGCCTCCCTTAGGGTGCGGCTCCACCCCCGGGAGTCCCTCCAGCCGCCGGCGCACGCGGACTACAGATCCCTCACCTTGGCCCGCCTGGCCCGCGACGACGCCCGCGTCCGTGCCATCAATGCCCGGCTCGAGCTCGCCATCCATGGCGTGAAAAGGTCAGATCTGACGCCGCTCATCCAGGAAGAAGAAGCCGTGACGGCGGCCGGCGGCGATGGTCTGAGCGGGCCGGTGGTCTCGGGGACGAGCCAGGGTAGCGGGGAGTACTTCTCCCGCGTTGGAATCGGCAGACCGGCGAGGTTGCAGTACATGGTGCTGGACACGGGGAGCGATGTGACGTGGGCGCAATGTCAGCCCTGCGCCGACTGCTACCAGCAGGCCGACCCGTTCTTCGACCCCGCCGCCTCCTCCACCTACTCCCCCCTGTCCTGCGGCTCCTCCCAGTGCCGCCAGCTCGACGTCTCCGCCTGTCGCAACGGCTCCTGCCTCTACCAGGTGTCCTATGGCGACGGCTCGTACACCGTGGGCGATTTTGCCACCGACACCATCACCCTCGGCGGCGCCTCCGTCCCCGGGATAGCCTTCGGCTGCGGGCACGACAACGAGGGGCTGTTCGTCGGCGCCGCCGGCCTCCTCGGCCTCGGGGGCGGTGCTCTCTCCTTCCCTTCCCAAGTCTCCGCCACTTCCTTCTCTTACTGCCTCGTGGACCGCGATTCCACCTCCTCTTCCACCCTCGAGTTCGGGTCAGGCGCGGGCGGGGGGGACGCCGCCGTCTCTGCTCCCCTGCTCCGCAACCGGAAGCTGGACACCTTCTACTACGTGGGATTCACAGGGATCAGCGTCGGCGGGCGGATGTTGTCCATCCCGCCGTCGTCCTTCTCCATGGGTGAAAGCGGGGAGGGGGGAGTCATCGTGGACTCCGGCACGGCGGTGACGCGGCTCCAGAGCGACGCCTACGCCTCACTGAGGAACGCCTTCACCAAGGGAACGGCGGGGCTGCCGCCGGCGATGGGCGTGGCGCTGTTCGACACCTGCTACGACCTATCCGGGCGGGACACGGTGGAGGTCCCGGCGGTGTCCTTCCAATTCCCCGGTGGCAAGGCTCTAAGGCTGCCGGCCAAGAACTACTTGATCCCGGTGGATTCCTTCGGCACCTTCTGCCTCGCCTTCGCGCCGACGTCGTCGGGACTGTCCATCATCGGCAACGTGCAGCAGCAGGGAACCCGCGTCGGCTTCGACCTCGCCAACTCCCTCGTCTCCTTCTCCCCGCATGAATGCTAGTGAGCTGAAATCCCCTGCTCCGATAGGTTCGCCGACGATCTCGTTCCTCCCCCGTCTTCCTTTCCCCTTGCCCTTTACTCTTTCCCCTTTCACCTTTCCCCTTCATGGTTAATTTCCCCTTCTTGCCGATGCAAGAACAAGTACGGACGACATTACAACTCGTCAGAGTCCGCATTTCCTGGGGGGAAGAAGGGTCACCACCAAGCCATTCTATAACTAGGTTTCCTCTGTGCGGCGGCGGCCGGAAGGGAGAGAGGGCGCCGCTTAATCGCCTTCATGTGAGCTGTGTGCGTAGTGATCTCCCATGCCTGTTAATGAGTCTATCCTTTTCTACGCGTTTCTGTCAGGACTCAGCCATTCTTCTGTGCAGAAGCAGCTCTGTGATTAGGGCTCTTCAACTGCAAACATGGTCGTAGAAATTCACCTTGCTCGTTAATCACCCACCACTCAGAGGCTTTCCTGCAACTGGAGGGCACGCCACTGCGTCGCCATCAATTCTGGGGACCGGGAGCAGTAATTCTTACCCGACCTCTCTCTCTGCACCGTCCGTTCTACACGGCAGGCGCACGGTCCAATGTGCGGTTGGCTCCTTCCCCGCCTGCCACGATCATAAGCAGACAGTCGGGTTGCCGGAAGAACAGCGACGAGAAGAGAAGGGGGTCGTAAAAGACGCACCCGTTGCGGCGGCGACTGGCGAGAGAGGGAAGGTTGGGGGGTTTGGGGCGGAGGTGGGCGGGACCTCCACGTGGGCTCTGCCGGAAAGCAGTACTGCCGGCAATTCGAAGCAGAGGCATTAATAATGGGCGCGTGTGGCGAAATTGTCTTTTGCACCCTGTTTCAATTTCTCCCCTTAATTTTCCTGGTATGTGGGGTCCGGTAGTCATATGCCTTGAACGCAGGCGAGAGATCGAATTATCACTTTTGGGCGATTACAGACCCCCCTCCCGGTGCATCATCAGCATCCGTCTTTTGGGGGCATGAAAGTAAGGTTGGAAAATACTTTGATGTATGATATGACCTAGAGATTTATAGATATACTTTTTAAAGGAGGACGTGATGATCAAAGGATAAACTATTTGTCACAATAATGTTATAACATCTAGAGATGTTAAAAAAAGATGCATCCCAACTAGAAAGAATGCGAGTTTAGGGGGATGAAGAAACAATTTCAGTGCCTTCGTTAGAACATTGGTTATCAAATATTAGTGTTAGATATTTATGTTTTTACATTGATTTATTTTAGCTAAAAAGCCCACTGTTAAAAAAAAATCATAGCCTATTGGGCCCAAATTCAAGGCATCTCGGATCTAATTATGGAACTTAAGTATAGGGCGTAATGAGCCTAGTTATTTGGCCTAAGTCTAAGTCGAAATGGATTTGGCTATTGGGCTTATGTCTTTGTTGCGATGGATCTGTCTATCGGGCTAGAACGGGTTATTTGGCCAACCGTTGGGAGCAATCAGGGTAATGGATCTATTTTCAGTTGTATTGGATCTAGTTGTTGGATGCAGGTGAAGCGGTTTCAGATTGCCTTTTGGAGCTATCGATTAAATGGAATTAGCAAACAAATTCACGACTCTACCATTCAGAGCGTTCCAATGACTTAATAGCCGGTGAACAGATCCATTTGTTATACTGCAGATCTAAGATGACAAAGTCTGCAGACGGGTAAAGATTCGGGCACGCGGATCTATCCGTTTTACTGCACAGCATCTGCGATTTAAATGGAAACGGACCGTCATCTGTTCGTTTAGACTCCGCCCATTTCTAGACCAATACACACCAGCGAGTATTTATATGAAGAGAAATTTGTTGGAAACCCTAATCTCATGTGTGAAGGCCAATCACAAGGAAGAAAAAATAAGGAAGAAGAAAGGACAACGTAGAGTGAGAAGAGGAGAGAAGTTGATCCACCAAACCAATACATTATTCTAGAGCTTGTGAGAGGAGAGAGGAGAGAAGGATTCATCAACACATTGTGATCTCCAGCTTGAACCAATAAAATAAAGGAGGAGAGGAAGATCAAATGTGTTGAGTCCTTAGTTGTCTAGGGCAAGTGAATCAATAGGGTGGGGGTGAATTGATTCTTGAGTCATATATTTTTTATTTATCTTTTTATGTCTCTAATTTTGCTCTCCTAAGTTGGGTCAACTCAAACCTAAGATTGAATATAGAGACACATTTTTTATTCTAGGTCGGCCACCCTTGGGCCATGCCTAGTTATAAGATCATTATTCTGATTCCCCTATTCTCAGATTGAGAATACAATTGATTTCTCAAGATCACCACTCATTCCTTACATGATAGATATTAGTGGGTTCTATCTCTCCACACTAGAAATCAAGGCTCTATCTATCATTTGAGCTCATGACATTTATTCCTATAGTGACTTCATGGATTCAAACATAAGAACATAAAACTAACAAGTATTTAGAAAAAAAATTATTGTCATATTTTTGAAGTGTGACGAATCTCATTGTTGAAGGAAATGTATGCGTAAGAATTTTTCATGGTAACAAATGGCAATAAATTTTCTACTGTTGCAGGTGCTTGAAGGTGCTGAATTTAGTTTGGGCTCCTTTGAGGGTGAAGAAGATTTCTTGGAGTCTCTTAGAGGAGGAAGATGAATGGTGTAAGGCTGTATCATTTTTTCTTGTTCTCATTTTAATTCTTCATCCCCTTGCCCTAATTTGGACAAATAGATTTTTTCATACACTTTGTATATTGGGCCAAATAGTCATCTCAAAGGCTAGTTGAGTAGACTTAATGAGTTTCATGTGTGCCTGAAAATTCATGGAAATATGTTTATAATCTTGTAAAATTTATAAAAATTCAAATACTTAGAATTCTGATGGTTTTTCTGCTTCATTGTATTCCTCTTTGAGCAAGCTTTCCAATAATGTGGCATAATCTTGTAGCTAAAGTTATTTAATCATCTACGTTAGAAATCTGGACTATTTTGTGATTGAGTGAAATTATAAACTCAATAATATTATAAAAATATAAAAAATCAAATTCTTTGAATTTTGATGTGCTGTTTATAACATTGTGTTTTTCTTTCAATTATATTTCCAACGAGTGGTTGTAAGCCTGTGTGTGACACAATTTTCAATATAAAAATGATTTCATTTTCCCCTCATAAATATTTATGGTTGTCCTTCAGAAAATTTCAATTAATTGTAATCATGACGATTTAACCCATTTTAATTAACTGAAAATTATCATTCTTTTAGATCTAATTTTGCCTTGATATCATCAAAATACTTGAAGCTCTTCAACACCAAAGTCTCCCATTTCTGGTTGTCACAAAAGCATATCAAGTGGAAAAAAAGAAGTTTAGGTAATATCAACAATTGTCTTGATGATATTTTTACATTTACTCATTATTTCTATCCTATCTCAGCATATTATCTATGATAAGAGATATTTGAGAAGTATAATTGTGAAATAATTTTTAAATGGATTGAATTCAGCATTGTTTCTTCCACTTTTTGTCAAATTGAAAAGATAGGCTGTTGAAATAATCTTCATACATAGAAATTGTATTTTCTTTCCACTATTCAGTCCTTTCTCATCCTTTTGACAGTATGGGCCCAACTTATCTGGACTCTCACGAGGTGCAAAACACCAGAACTATATTTTGATTGCATAGTTTTTCCTTCCCTCTTTTGATTTCATTTTAATTCCACTTTTTAGAGATGAACTCTATGCTAAATTCATTACATCAAGTTTAGGAAATAGGAAATGCTGTAGTTTAGGAAATAGAACAAAGCTTTTAGAAATCAACATGGTTTGTGAATGAACAAGAAAATAAGTTGATCAAGCCTTGCATCAAACTTTGTCATAGTAATAGGCTGAGTTGTACTGATTTATGAATCTCAGCTTTTAGAAAGATATTGATTGAATCAAGCAATCCTAAAATCTGTGTTTAATTATGTTGTCAAATCTCCAAAGATTTGAGTTTTTTCAAAAATATTAAGGATGCTCTACTTTTAGAACATAACACAATTTTATTTGGGCATATGTCAAAATTACATATTTCTCAATAAAAACTTTAAGTTTATTAATCTGAATATCAATTTTTGATTTCTACTTTAAAATATTCAGACCTGAAATCTACTTTGATTTCTATTCCTTAACACATCAATAAATCTGAATATCAATGTTGTAACTTTCATATTCAGATATTAAATTCTATTTAATTGATTTTTTATAATTTTTCTCACAAAAAAATGATTTAGATTCTTAGTGCTGAATTACTCCCCATAAATGTGACAATCAATATAATATAATGATTCTTAATTCTTGATTTTTAGTTCTTAATTTGTTTTATTTAAGTAGTTTATTATTTTAATTTGTAGAAGGAAACTACTGGTGACTAGAAGGAAACTACTTGTATAATATATTATATTTTATTATCATAACATATCGTTAGACAATCAGTCCCACAACCCATGGCTTGTGACTAGATTGGGGACTTTTTGAAGGAAAAATGAAGCATTATAATATGTACACATCATGTCAACTTAAAAATCCAATGTACTAAAGGTTTCTTCTTGTTTTAGTTAGCAGTTTGTGATGATTTGATTATGCAATGTTCAAGATGCCATGTGACTAGAAAAAGAGAGATTTGACGATGAGTGAAGCACCATGATACCTAGAAGTTAAGTTCTCACATATATCACCATCAAAGATATAAATATAATTATCAATTATCAGAAGATAAAATATATATTATTGACTATGATTAAAATCTAGATGACAATCACAATTATGAATCCATTTCTTTCTCTCCTTCAAGCAATCAAAACCTTTGGTAATCAGTGAGCTTGTTCCTTTCTCCCCTGACTACACTCAAAGGCCTCTAGTGAGTGGGTCAACTAATCTCTTCTCCCCTTAAATGATGACAACAACATAGTCGACCCTTTTTTTTAGTGGATCTCTCTAGTGAGTGGTGTAGCACTTTTGGATGATGTTTTTGTGATTTTTGATGTGGTGTG